TAAACTAATCAAGTAATACGCTTGTTAGAGATATACTGTACATATAATAAAACAACTAACACCACTAGGAAATTTCACCTTTTTTGTATCAATCACGAGGCAATTTTATCTCCAGTTTGCCAAGAACTTTCTGTTCTGGTTTAGCACAGAACTACCGTTATGTAATAAGGCGCTTGATAAGACTAAACACAAATACAAAATATCCCTCAGAAGACTGTAGGTGGAATAACCCACTCTATCAATTCGCCATTTTGTACCATTAATGAATAAAAAAAATCATTTCTCTGAATCAATCCATTTTTGATTAATGACTTCCGGAGATTAATTTGGATACGAAGAATTACGTACAATCTTTTATGCGCCATTTTGTTCAATGCTGAGCGCTTAAACCAGGTAAATTACTGTAAAAAACATTTCATAAAAATGGATAAAATTACCAAGATTATCACTCTCGTTATCACAAGATAGGAATTATTTTATAATAGAAATTAAACCAATTGAAGATACCATTTTACCTGAATTTCCCTGATTGCCGACTCGTTCTTTTCTGTATGAAACACGAATTTCGATATATATATATATATATATATATGCGGAAATGCATTCGACGGTATTTCCTTCAATCTTCCCAATGCATGGAATAGAATATGGGTATTTCTACACATGTATATTCAAAGAATACAGACGCTATATATAAGACAAAAAGAATGCTAAAGTAACGGAAAACTGTACTTCAAATGGGTTGACACGATGGCCGGGAAATTTTTCTCACGATTTCGCGTGTAATGAAATGTCATTTACAATACAAAATCCTACTCCATAGCGCAGCCTAGCGACAACAGAAGAATACTAGGGGATACATCAGAAATGTAAATCCCCTTTGAACATATTCATATGCACGCAGAGGTCGTTGTTGGTCGTCTGGACAAATTCGTGCTTTATATAGTAATGGTATTATCTCTGTATCTGTATGCTTTTATACACATTATATACTTGCGCTAGCGAATGACAAGGTTTCCGTCAAGAAAAGGTGGGAAAATTACTGTAATAAGAGTTACGAATAAACACTGATATAAGAGTAGAGTATGTAGCTCTATAATAGATATCACTTGTCGGAAAAGCCAAAATAAACTATGTGTAGAAGAAGGTGGGCCACTGTGGGAAATCAGCTCTCATACTCTTACTATATCCGGAATCGGGTCCACATTTCGATGTTTTTTGATGATTTCGATGTTTTTATTCTTAAAACTTAACTTCCGAGCTTCCAAATTAAATTAGATGGAGAATCTTGGGTGTCACCGCTCGATAACCAAATTTGGTTCCCCGCGGCTTCCCTTACCCAGTAAAATGTGTGTTAAATTTTGTTTATTTTTTGATTTTGTATGTTATTTTTTTGATGGTTGGAAAAAATAAAATTGACTATGACTCTGACTTTGTATTCAAAACGTTGGCGAGTGTTTTCCGAATCTCGACGTGGGACTGTCTGAAATTATTTTTTTGTCTGTCTGAAATTATTATTTGCAATGGGGAACAATGGACCGGGGTTCCGTGGGACATGCTCCACTTGGCACAGTTTGACAGTGTTTGATCCATTAGGGTCTATAAATGCGTGTTTTGTGTAATATTAAGGTATCTTTTTACCCACAGCCCAGTATGGAATCTATTCTACTATCAAAAATATTTTTCAGAGTGATTCAGATTCAAAAAAGTAAATATATATTTTGCCTTTGGCCAGAATTAGAAATTTGACTTTTGATATATAAATGTTGGTTTTGTTTTAGCGGATGTAGTGCACAATTAAGTAATTTAAAAAACCACACCATCGTTATCTGTTTTTTTTTTGAACCGCACTCAAAACCCGTATTTGATGTTTATGGCATTTTTGACCAAGAACTGTCATCGTCGAGAATTGAAGTTTCAGAACTCATTTCAATTGGTTGAAATTAGGCATAATTCAAAAGTAGAACAATAATTTGATTTCATATTAAATAACAAGATATAGAATATTTAACAGGCAATTTTGCAATGTCAAATCAAACCATTTAGATACATATGTACGGTGCGCCCGAATGTGTTCCACCAGTGGGACACTGATAGACATTTTACACAGCCATTTATTGGTAAAATGTGTGTAGTTTGGGTATTTTTAGTCGCAGAATAACAACTGCATTTACCCCTCTCTGTATTAGTCCTGTTGTGACAAATGAATATGCAGGTTATAGCACAGGGCTCAAAATATGCAAAAGAAAAAAGTTTCCCAATCTTCCCCTAGGTGACGCGACATTTTATTTGGGGTGACAGTATCATATTAACCGTAACATCCTATTTCATTAAATCCTCTTATTTGGTGAATTAGGAGAGACCTGGTATTAATTCTTTAGCATTGGAAATCAGACTCGGAGATTACTAAATTCCGGATATTTAGCGAAGTGCAAAAGTTGTTTTTTATTCAGATTTACTTCGATAGACATTATGTGACTACCATTTACGTGACAATAAATGTAACTAAAACTGTAACCCCAAGAACATCACAGACACAAGTAACTTGGGTAGTTTTCCGTAACTAGGAACTAGATGCTAAAATTATAAGTTTTTTTTATTAATAAAAACATCACATTATATATATATACACAGTGGATAACACATAAATGCAATTGCACTTAAAAAACGAGATAAATTTCCGCTTTCTATGTGGAATCTCAGTTTCCCCCTCCAACAGCCATGTTTTCAGTTGATAACATTTTTCAATGTGTACGAAATACAAGGCATATTCGTCAAGTTCGAGCTCTTGTTCACACTAAGCGTACACCATCGAACCTGAATAAATAGTTGCCGACATTGTCGGTTGTTGCCTTCGCCAACCACTTTTAACTTACATCGTGCCAGCTTCATCCTCTACTCTCGTGTAATAAACTACAAACCGGTCACAAGAAGCTATTGGTTCGGAGCGCCAGTTTTTCTTTTAAATAGGGCTGGGAATTTCAGGAAAAACACTTTAACTGGGTGAGATTAACCGGTTAACTGCAGAGTGACGTCAGACGCAATAAGTTATAACTTTAGCTTGTTACGTCACAATGGTTTCAATACAATTTCGCGTGATCTTACCCCGATATCGCTCGAAATTATTCCAGAATCCAGATCGTCCTGCTGCAATAGATATGCAGCGTGCTTCGGAAATATAAGTATTTTGGGAAAACCCGATTACTATATTATATATATGTTATTTATGAGACCAATTTTCAGTGTTCGATGTACAAATTCTACTTCGAGACATCATAAAGAAAAACAGCATTAACTACGCACTTGTTGGGCGATATTGAATATACGCTGTTGCAATAAAATCGGGAACAATATATTTTTCCCGGAACTGATTCAGAATCATCATTGTTAAATTTCATAATCAGCAATATTGGTACTTTAATAATTTTTCACATTTATTGGGTCCTTACCAATACAGTGAGATAAATTTGTGATATACTAATCATTTTTGAAGAAAATGTACATTAAAAACATGATTTGTATCCCCGAAGTCAGTTAACGGTTAAAATAAACCGTAACCACCTAAATCGGTTAACCATTACCAGTCCTACTTATAACAGTCGTAACTTGAATGAAAGAAACTACTAAAGCCATGTTAGCGTGAGCGTACTTTATTTCAGCATATCCCAAATGCAAATAAATTACAGAAAAAGTTGGATTAATAAGTGGATGCACAAACGCATCCACACAATGCTTCTTCCATCGTTATTTCATTTAAATGGCAGTGTTCATTGATATTGCTTGACCGTAGTCAGGTTTGTGAAATTACAATTATATAAACGGAAAAACAAAAGACATGGATTTATTTCGATAGACATTATGTGACTACCATTTACGTGACAATAAATGTCACTAAAACTGTAACCCCAAGAACATCACAGACACAAGTAACTTGGGTAGTTTTCCGTAACTAGGAACTAGATGCTAAAATTATAAGTTTTTTTATTAATAAAAACATCACATTATATATATATATACACAGTGGATAACACATAAATGCAATTGCGCTTAAAAAACGAGATAAATTTCCGCTTTCTATATGGACTCTCAGTTTCCCCCTCCAACAGCAATGTTTTCAGTTGATAACATTTTTCAATGTGTATGAAATACAAGGTATATTCGTCAAGTTCGAGCTCTTGTTCACACTAAGCGTACATCATCGAACCTGAATAAATAGTTGCCGACCTACGCCAACCACTTTTAACTTAATCGTGCCAGTTTCATCCTCTCCTCTCGTGTAATAAACTACAAACCGGTCACAAGAAGCTATTGGTTCAGAGCGCCAGTTTTTCTTTCAAATAGGGCTGGGAATTTCAGGAAAAACACTTTAACTGGGTGAGATTAACCGGTTAACTGCAGAGTGACGTCAGACGCAATAAGTTATAACTTTAGCTTGTTACGTCACAATGGTTTCAATACAATTTCGCGTGATCTTACCCCGATATCGCTCGAAATTATTCCAGAATCCAGATCGTCCTGCTGCAATAGATATGCAGCGTGCTTCGGAAATATAAGTATTTTGGGAGAACCCGATTACTATATTATATATATGTTATTTATGAGACCAATTTTCAGTGTTCGATGTACAAATTCTACTTCGAGACATCATAAGGAAAAACAGCATTAACTACGCACTTGTTGGGCGATATTGAATATACGCTGTTGCAATAAAATCGGGAACAATATATTTTTCCCGGAACTGATTCAGAATTATAATTGTTAAATTTCATAATCAGCAATATTGGTACTTTAATAATTTTTCACATTTATTGGGTCCTTACTAATACAGTGAGATAAATTTGTGATATACTAATCATTTTTGAAGAAAATGTACGTTAAAAACATGATTTGTATCCCCGAAGTCAGTTAACGGTTAAAATAAACCGTAACCACCTAAATCGGTTAACCATTACCAGTCCTACTTATAACAGTCGTAACTTGAATGAAAGAAACTACTAAAGCCATGTAAGCGTGAGCGTACTTTATTTCAGCATATCCCAAATGCAAATAAATTACAGAAAAAGTTGGATTAATAAGTGGATGCACAAACGCATTCGCACAATGCTTCTTCCATCGTTATTTCATTTAAATGGCAGTGTTCATTGATATTGCTTGACCGTAGTCAGGTTTGTGAAATTACAATTATATAAACGGAAAAACAAAAGACATGGAATTGTGTTTTGCGACAAATTATATTGAGTTCGCAAAAATTGATAGTCAGACCAGCTAACAGGCAAAAAAAAATAACAAAGTTTATTCAGACTTGAACAGCATTTATTCAAGAAGGCGTGCATCATGTATAAAGCATAGCATTATATAAATAAACCGATTTACGGCAAGTTACTGAATGGTGAGGTAGACCGCGTGGTACCTTATGCTTATGTAACGAAACATTGTGTCGGAGAAAACCGTGAGTTAATGGGGTTGTCTAGTACCCAGCAATATTTCATGTTCAATTTATACCATGGTGTGTAACATTTGGCAACATATGCCTTATAAGCTCAAATAATCACATCAAGTATGGTCCAGCAATAAGTGAATAATTGTGGCATGTAAAAATCAAGAATACACAACCACACCAGGTCCCATGTATGGGACAATAATACAAAAATAGAAAAAAAAACTGCAAATATGTTTTATTAAATCGCAGTGACTTAAATTATCAAATTATACAAAAAAATATTTTTTTAATATAGTTCCCATAAATATTCTTTTATGGTTATTGAAACAAGGCTACAATCAAGATAATAACTAATAGCTATCAGTTACAAGTGACGCACACAAATGTAGATAGTATTATTTTTAACCATACATGTCTAGGCCGAAGGGCACACGCCATTATAGAACATGCTTGGTAAAATATGTATGGAATGTGCCGCATATATAAAGTACATTGTGCTGACTATAAGTTTTATATATTTGAGAAAAAAAAATCACAGCATTGCAAAAAAAATATGCACTTCGATTGAAGATGAATTTTTTGTGAGAAAAAAAAAATTGATTATCATAGATTTAAACTCCTCCTCCACTTCTGGATACAGCAATGTCTTCCCTTTCCTTGATTTTTCGAAGTTCACCTTGTCTCATAAATGTGGCGAGTCGATTTCCAATCACCTTTCCTTCACGCATGCTGCTCATCAACTGATATATCAAAAAAGAGAGATATAATAAATTTAATATAGTGTTTTTGTGAAAATTAGAAATTAGAAAAATGACACAAATAATAGAAAAGTAGTTGAAAAAGAAATTGACTGGTGACAAAACCAACTATATAAAAATCTTTTTGGGTTCTACTTTGGTATGCGATCACAGCGGTTGTGTTATCTTGGTGCTTTTAGTTTAGTTAGGGTTAGGAATTGATTTGTATGAGAATGTTTCTATGAGATTAAACGCATACCACATTAAGTAAATGAGATCGCATACCAAAATGGCACCACTTTTTGTCAGTTCTTGCCCAAACCATATTAATATCCCATATTCACTGCCTGAGGGCCCGAGTGTTAGTTAGGCCCAAAATAAATTAGTGAGTGATGAAAATAACTCAAACTACCTTAATTGGGAAATAGGTAGTCCAATCAAAGTAATATCCCTCATATTCTGAATTTTAAGCTAAGTGTGGTTACTGGTTACTATTACTAACCTCTAAAAACTCATCCAATTCGACTTTACCATTCTTATTCAGATCTACCTCATTCAACATATCGCTCAAATCATCATCTTTAAGTTGTCCTTCTTCAAATTCCTGAAATGTGAAAGTAAATGAAAATAAATGACACTTAGTATTTATTCTTTCATTGATTTTGAAGATAGCTTCTTATTAAATGATTATGATCTGTTTTGGATACAGATGTCTATCTATCTTCAGATTATGTTTGATTTTGAATATCATCTATTTTGCAGTAAAATCGTGATATTCCAGAGTTGAAATGCCACCAAATTCCTAAGTAATACAGTTATTCCATTATCTGTATTTCTGAAAAACATTTTTCAAACATTCAGTTTCTAAATTCATTCATATGAATTTATATGAATCATGAAATATTGAGATATTTTATGTTGTGGCCATGCTTACCTGATCTAAAACACTTTTCAAATCCTGTCTTGTGATAAACCCTTTACGTTCTTTATCGAACAAATTGAATCGTTTCTTATATCTGTCGAGATCAATGGGTGACAGATGAACTCCTTGACTATGTTCCAGAGCACTTTCTCGTGTCTGAAAAAAGTTGATCTATTTTGGAATCGAAAAAAGGTATGTTAGTCAAATATTTTTTTTTGTTAAATGTTTTACTGATGATGAATGAATGACGTCAAGATGAGTGAAATATCCATTCATATGATGACAAAAATGAGATGAGACGATGAAGTAGGCTTCAAATCACATGAATAAATTTCTCTCTTTCTGAATAAATCATTCTTGGTGACTTCTAATAACAAATACAAACTACTGAATTTGGGTTTCAAATTTCTCTTTCTCAACGTTGTGGACGACTATACTTGAATATATTATAAAGGTATTTTCAGATATCATCCCAGTGACAGCAAAAACCAATTAGTTTGTATATAAAGTAGTATTCTAAAAAGAATTGTTATTAAAATTTAGTTTAAACATATTGATATAAAAAGCTATTTGTAATATTGGCAATTCCCTAAAGGCAGCACTTACCTTAGCTTACCAGTAGATGACTAGGCCTATACAATTTTGAATAAATAAAAATTTTGTAATAAATTAGAAAATTATAAACCAAAAGATGACTGCCATGATTGCATCCATCATGAAAAAACAAAATGTGAGAGATTTCATCTATTTGCATGCATAACGAAAACAGTGAAACATCTTGTACCTTCTTTCCCATCTCATGATAAATAAATTCTAAAGCATCCTGTCTTTCTTTTTCCACTCTCTCTTTCGACCATTTCAATTCTTTCTTCATAACATTCAATATAGTAGGTAGAGCTTCCTCAGCAGCTTGTGTGTTCAGGAATGCAATCCTTGTTCTCCTTGCAAGAAAGTCAACAGCAGTGCAAGCATATTCCTCAATTCCATAACTAATCTGCAAATGGAAGCAATCGTTACAAAAATGAATTCACATTGAACCGTTGAATTGAATACCAGTATTATAAAGTTACTCTGAATTGACTGACGCCGCATCATGCTAACTGTTAGGATTACATTTGCTATCGCTCTTTTAATTACCCTGCGGATGTCCGCAGGTTTGAATTCTGTGGGGATAATTACATGCAAGTAGATTGCTAGACCGGTGGTTCACGTAGTCGCTGGCCACTCATGGCTTCCTCCACCATCATCTCCATGCATCTGAAATAAATAACTGGCTAACTATTTCCATATCAGACATGGACTGGTTACTGGGCGAGAGGCTGTGGTTCCATATGATCAAGCTGTCTTATAGGCTTTCCTCTCCCGATGATAAATATGAAAATCCTATCCTACTTATTTAAAAATATCGTTACTAATTGCATCATACCTCAGCTTCAATGTACGGAAGATCTTCCACTAATCTCTTTCCTACAATGGGCCATCTTCTTCCTGTAACCATTGCCATTCTAGCTATTGCTACGGCTCTTGATCCATATGTTGTCGATAAATGCTTAGCAACGTCAGTTTCAAGACCTTAAAAAGAAGGCCAAGGGTGTAACATCTAAAAATCATGCTAATCGAAAAAGTGTGTTTAGAATATTCTCGGTGAACAAATTTTTATTATTAAACAAATGTCATTTTACCAATGAAATAAGTATTCACAACAAATGCTCTTGAGCAAAATTTGGGCGGTGTACCAATATGAAGGTAACTGATTTTGTTCGCCTACTTTACATCAAGTTGTGTAATGGGGGGAAAGCCTATGTGCAGGAGGTATATTCACTTGGCACAAACACAAACAGTCCCCAAACTCGTTATAGAACTAAAATAAGGAGAATCAGAACAAAATTATGGCCCAACCCTAACCTGGTACACATACAATGGGAGTACCAAAATTCGTTTTATTTATTAATCTGTATTTTGGGTCCTAATTGGTACTTGTTACTTGGCTTGTAAATAATGTGAATACAATCATACCATAATCCTGTGCAAGCTTTATATAAGAATTTGCTGTCCAGTTATGACCACCATCTAGTATCATGCCATCGGTACCAGATGGACGAGCAGGTTTCAAATCACAGTGTTTAACAGCAGCTTCCACTGCATCATATGCCATGGACCGGTATGTTGTCCATTTGCCTCCTACATTTTAACATATATGTGTATATATTATGCATAGTGAATGAGATCAGGGGGGTTAAGTCATGGAAATTTATACGAGAGTCAGACTATGAGCTATTTGAAACGAGAAAACGAAATAAAACAGGAAAAAATATGGTGTGTGTTAAGAATGCTCGTCAACCTAATGCTTTTTAGTTTTCGATGAAAACTTTGACTTCAATTATCACCATTTGAAATCTGAATTTCCAAGTTCACCTCTAGACAGAATTTGAAATTTCTACTTCGGCCCAGAGTAGAGATCTATAGGTTTGGAAATAAGACTTTGGCTCGACTACAATATCAATGCTATCATGCTAAACTCAGATTTTGGACAAAAATAAACCAGGACTTCACAATGGTTTGGGCTATCTTCAAAACACAATTCTGAACTATAAATAAGCATGTAAGAATACAAACCTGCAATAGTAACAAGTTTGCTTGGGCTGACATGAACAACATGATTTCTTGAGATTGACTGAGTGTTTTTTGAACTTGGGTCTACGACAAGTGGTCGTATTCCACTCCAAGCAGACAACACATCACCTCTGCGAACTGTAAAAAAATCACAGAAAATTTAGTGTACAGTCAAAAACGAACAGAAGTTCAAGTGTTGAATCAATGTTCTTCATTTTTGTACAAGTGATTAAAAAATTAATGGGTTCTGTTTTGTTTGGGTCACACCCTTTATATTATTAGTGTATGATAATAGGGTTTCAGTGTCCTGAAGTCATCCTTGGGCCTGACGAACAATTTAGAGCACTTCTATTGTAAAGTGTAATACATGTAATCAAAAACTTTACCTCGAACATCAGGACTGAGATAATTTTTAACTTCATTCAATATAAACTGAATATCAGCTTCCCTGGGTTCAGGATGTGGTGTGATGTCAGTAGGACTGTCCGTTGTTCCTGCAATTGTGTATCCTTCCCACGGCAAGAAGAAAATAACTCGGCCATCAGAGGTAGATGGATCTAACAAACCCATTGTGTCAGGACTGTAAAGGTTGAAAATAGTAAAGCTTCAATATTTGTTTAAAATAGAGATTCAACGAAATAGATTAATATTAAAGATGAACTATAAGGAACTTGGAAACAATTTATGAGATATCTCATATGGATATATCATGATGGTGCAGTACAACAATTTTGGTAGAGACATTGTGATCCTGAAAAACCTGTATGTATGAAAATGCATCAATTGGCATTGATATCAATATGAACCGAGTGCATACAGCATACAGGTAATATTGACAACAGGTTGGTACATTGTGCTGAGTGTTGCAAACATACTTGGCATTGGTATGCATCTAAAACAAACAACCACTCATCTATTCCCACATGACATGGTCTGGTAAGTGATAATAACCATGTAGTGGTTTGTCGAAAGAATAATTAGGATAGCTTATTGGCCCTTACGTTCCCCTGGAATATCTTTTGGAATGCAAGGTAAAATATAAACACAGCACAGAGCACTTATGTAATAACAGTCAACACCTTTACAGAAAGTAATATTCACATTCAACATTATAATCTGTAAACCAAAACAGAAATCTATCAATTTCTTAATTACTTGAAATAAAAATAGGGTTGCATATTGAATAGGCTATTGTTTCCCCTTAAACTTCTGTTTGTGTATGATTGATTAATTGTACCCAAACGTTTCCGGTATCTAGGAAGCACAAACGTTATGCCCTCTCTAGAATATGTTCAAAATGACCTCTCGGCGATGGAGACAGACTTGCATTCGACATACAAAATTTCCAAGTGTCAACAAAATTAAATAATTTACTCTATTTTCATAAAATCAATAAAGAAATTAACAGGTTTTATTATCGGTCACCCCTTACCATGTTATCTGATAATCAAATCAAAAATTTAAACACTTGAGTTCCATGACCGAAAAATAAAATTTACAGTACATAGAGAAAAATGCTTTTTTTTCTCATGTACAATTCCAATAACCCACCTGTAATAATCAGGGAGAATGATATGAACACCAGCACTTGGTTGACAAATTTTAGGAATTTCAGCATCGTCCATAGTTCGTATATTATCAGTGAAAGGACCGGTGGCATTTACCACACATTTAGCGCGAATGTCAAAAACATTTCCGTTCATGTTATTTCGTACTGTAGCACCACAACAAACTTCATTGCCATCTTTGTCCTTTCTCTTTAACAATTTCAAGACTTCGACATGGTTGGCAATGGCAGCACCTTGTCGAGCAGCTGTCAATCCTATTGCTAAATTCATCCTAGCGTCATTGTGTTGACCTGAAAGATAGATGTTCATGGCTATCACTTGAGGGAATATTAATTATATTATCGCTTACCGGTATGTCCATATCCATATATGACTATCTCAACACTGCAGACCTATTTTTTACAAATAATAGTGATAACTGTGCATTATTAGAACCCTAAAAATATTTAATTTTGCTTCATGGTACTTTACATATGGGATAGGATTCACATATTTATCCCTGGGAAGATGAGGAAAGCCGATAAGACGGCTGAATGCATACTAATTTTAGAGTGGCAAAATACAAGCTTTGCAACTGTCGTGGTGATTGATTCAATGATTCATTTTCATAAATATCTTTGCAAAAATGTTGAATCATTTGTAAATTGATTGGTTATTGATAAAAGCATGTAATGATGAACATGATAGGATGAGCCATGCATTTCTAACATTTGTGAAAAGCATGACAGGATATAAATAATGATATCACAATAACCTATGCTAGAAATTCATCACATCGTGTCGTGTCATAATACCGGTATATCATACAGGTACATGTCAAATTTCATTTAATAGTAATATACTATCAGATAGTTTGAATTAAAAAAAAATATGCCTAATACAATCAAAAAATAAAATAAGTTTTGGACATCACACACTATGCATTGGATTAGAGTTCCAAAGTATCATCCATCTTCCAGCTACTTCAATTTAATCCCACATGCTGCTCACCCTGGTATGTGGAAGGCAATACTGCTCGAGCTGACCATATATTCGAATAACAAGCATATTGCATGATAAAATAGGTTGAGATTGTTATTTCATTATATCGCTCATTATTACAATTCTACGTTAATATGTCATGTTCTTAAAAATGAATAAACATACTGATTACAACTAAACATTTTACACATCCACCCACAGCTGCAGGCTACAGCACTGATTATTTATTATTCATAGACACTCACCATCATAATACACTATGGAAGCTTTCAATTTCTCCTTTTTTAACATTGGAAACCTTTCAAGAGATTTTTCTTTACTCAAAACATAACTTGATTGTAAACATTCTTTGCCAGCGACAATATCGTACATTTTGATACCAAGCCAGTAATATGGAACTTGCCAATACCTGAAAATTGAGAATAACACTACGGTATAAATTGTTCTCGACATTTATAATAATAAAAGATTAACAAAAAAAGATATTAAATGGAAAAATTCACTTTGCTCTTAAAATGTAGGCTACTCAGAAAACAAAATATTCATGTAACATGAACATAATCCAGATTTCGATTTGAATTGTATGGATTGTATATTGTGCCCTGGAAAAGAAATTTCAAATCTGTCTCATGTCAAATTGTTTCAATTTTTCATATTATGCGAATAAGACTCAACCAATAAGATTTTGGACAAAATTACATTGCGCTGATGAAAAGTAGGATATTATATAAACCAAAAACATACTTGTACACAGGTAACATAATGGGTAAAGGTCCGGAAAGATGAGGTGCAATCTGAAGTAGATTTCCTCTTTCGTGCAATGCTTCCTTCACCAGCCTATATTGATCCATGTCAAGTCCCATGATTGCCTTCTGCAAGTACCTGAAAAGTATTGAAAATAATTCTGTTTATTCTCTCATCTCATAGCAAATATATGGAGTATAAGTTTTTGGCCAGAACTAGTTGAACACTTGCAATAAAATTTACTGAAGTTTTGTACGGCATCAACAAAATTAAGAAACTCCATTCATATGCTTATCTCAATAAATATTTATTAATTGAAAATCCTACTTTTATTATGTCTGAATAGTATAATGAAGAGAGGAGTAATGAAAAAAAGTTTAATAACCTTCAAACTTCCAACTGTTAAAATACATGTAAAATAGTGCAATACTGACGCTAGAAATATTCATGATATAATGAATCAGAATGAATGCAATACAAAGAATCTAAAACATTTTAAACATTTTCAGAAAAAAAATTTGTATTGTAGAAGCTAACAAACAGGTAACATTTATTAATGACATTTGAAATGTCAACACAATATCAGAATACAACTGTAAATGTCGAAATATATTTGAAACACATTTTACCTGACACCACCATGTAACAATTTTGTGCTTCTGCTGCTCGTTCCAGAACTGAAATCATATTTGTCGACAAGGGCAGTTGTCAATCCTAAAACAAGAAATGGATATAAAGTGACTTCAAAAACTTCCAGATTAATTGGATATGGACAATGCATATCATACTATGAGAAAATTTTGTAATACATTTGATTTTATCAAGAGTTCAAATTCAAGTTTTATAACCTATCAGACTGCTTACATGCATTGATTATGAGTATTACCTCTGGAAACAGAGTCCAATGCAACACCACACCCAGTTGCACCACCTCCAATGACAAGAACATCAAATTCCTTGGTACATTCCAATGCTTTTAATTGAGCCGCTCTTGATGGTAGAGGATTAGTTGTCCATTCCGGTGCAATCTTGCTTTCAGCTTGAAAAAACTTGAAAAACAAAAATACCTTTTATATTAGGTGTATAAAAAGGTAAAAAAGATTCGCAATCCAGAACACAACTATAATTCAATAGACATTTTGTCTCTTGATGACAAATTGCATGCTATTGCAGTGTTATTTATGTAAATACAAAAACCGACTATTACAATGTATAAAATTTGTTTTCAGGTACATTCACAAATACCAATAATACAACAATATAAGAACCACATGAAAACAAAGCAAGATCTCCATCAAAGACTATTAGATCACACAGGCTTAAAAATATGTTCAATACATCCTGCATATTTTTATATGGACATTTTATATCTTAGATGAAGCATTCTGTAACACATCATCAGGCACTCAAATTTTTTCGAGCGTTTTCAGATCAAGTAATGAGAAATATTCGACATAAATATTCTACATTGAATAGTATAAATATATTATAGTTTGCAAACTTTACATTTATATGTACAAAACATATATTCAACCAAGCAACACAAATTAACAAATTGGTGAACTACCAAAATTTTCATTACAAACATACAACATACAAAAAGGAAGCAGACCTCAAAATAGACAGAGTTACAAATATAAATCAATGAACAATCAAAGACTAAAAGGACCATAAATAACATTTCACACCCACTTCTGCACATACTGACAACGTAAATTACAATACATCCATATCCATGTTCAACTGATATATCAACATGGAAATTTGATATATACAATATGACAAAACAACATAAAGATGAGAGTGCTTTCAAATATTAAATTATTACCAAATAATAAATTACCGAAATAACTTTTTCCCATAAGACATCACTACATTGATATAAAATTTTTAAAACGTCATATTTTTTTAATCTCGCTGACTACCTATAAATGTAATAAATTATAGATTCATTTTTACAATATTGGTACATGACTACGATAAAGATTTTAGTTTCTTCATTTTATAGTTGGATTAGATAAGAACAGATAAGTCAGTAAGTAGACAGACAGATAGTCTCAATAGTAGTATCACATACCAGAATATGATAGAACAGAAGATGTTTGAGAAGCATTCACCAATCCATAATTGAAGAGATATGTAAAATACACAGAAACATATACAAACACCAACAATCATCAGATCATAATAAGTAAAATTAATATAAGAATAATATGAGAAAATAAAAATGAGGTCTTCATGCAGTTGGCCAAATACCTGCAATCCCACCTTTTTTCTTACCCTATGGGCATTCCAAGTATAATACTCATAAACAGCTACACCAAAGGCTCCAACCCCAAGTGCAACTTTTGTCCTACTTCCCATGCTTGATACAGATATTCTAGTTACTCAAAACACTTTGCAATTTCATTGACTTATTGTAATATATCACCAATCAGCTTGCTGTCATTTAGTCTGTGCTTATTCTTTTTACGCTAACAAAATCACACTTGCAGTCTTAACAAATTATTTATTCCGGCCGATACCCAGCCGAATGCAAACAAACTGGAAAATGGATAGTACAGTAATGCCGAAATAAATTGTATTACCGGTACCGTACTAATATATGTTGAATCAAGTACTAGTACGGTACCTTGAATTACATGTAAATTGTGTAATAATCTGATACCTGAACAGTGAGCGCGACCTACCGTACATACCGGTACTGACATATATACTAATGCGCAACTGCAATGCAAAACCCTAAAATCTAAAAATGGTGTCTTCATGTTTCCAAGGCCGAAGATTATAGTTCAAAACAAATTTACCGTACATTTAACTGCATCAATACCGCTACCGTACCGTACCCTGAATACAGAAATATCCATGAAACATTCACACGATTGCCCGAATGGCCAACTGACAAAAGGGATAGTATGGTGCACGAGAGGAAACTCGTCGCCTTCATTCTAAAAAAACAGGGGAAATCTGAAACGAGTTATGGCTACATTGCGATTCCGTCTGCAGTCTGAGCCAAAGTGACTATCTGAGTAACCTCGCATAAACAGCGCGCCAGACGGCTGTTTTTTATTTACTTGTATACTATTACAAGTACAGTACGGTATACCTGTATACGGTCGTCGGTCACCGGGATTATACATGACTGGAGCGTAACACACACAATTATCGGATCATTGCAGGCGGTTTTGTTGAACTTCTGTTCTAAGGTTCAATTTGATGTAGACGTCAACAATTTTGCAGAATGAAACTCTTAAAACCAACATGGGTGTCACACGATGGTATGTAACTTAGACATAAACATTTGTTATCGAATTCACCGTTTATGCAGTTATAGAATTAATTTTTTCAACGCAGAAATGAAGTCTCATTTCTGCACATGTCAAACTCAAATGGAAATTAGTATACATGTGAAGCTGTAAAGGCTTTTTAAAATATAATAGGGTAATATGATTCACGAAAAGTAAGAACTGAAAATTCAGATGATAGAATTGCTTGATTATGGTATTAGCAACACAGCTACAAGACATTTTCATATGTATCCATAGGCATAGCTTGTATCACCAAAATGGGATCATCTCATTCTAATTAAGGTGTTGTAGTTTCGTCAATTTAGTGGTCTCCGTCCGTATTGTCTATGATACGAACTTTTTTATATAACAATTTAAAGGTACCGTACTATACTCACAAAAACCAGCTTTTCGATATATTGTTTTAATATGGCTTGCAATTTTTCATCCCTTGTAGTGTTTTGACCATCCACATGGGCTTACCTGTCTATTGACTTATGTTATTAAAGTAATTCATTTTAGACTGCAGCAAATGTTGATTTCTAAGTTAGAGGTCACATCAGCAAAAAAAAAATGATTGAGATACGAAAACGTTTTTGATAAAAAGTGTCATTGATGAATTTAAAACAGCCATCCCAATTAAGGTGCTGCTTGCGGCTCAAAACTTAATCTGATGATTTCTAAATTGGCCATTTTGTCCTATAAAAACGATGAAACAATAAAAATAAGTGGATAGGTTCCTGGAAGTAAAAGTTCGTTTTTCGGAATCTTGTTCGTCTACTCTCTACCATTCTCCAGTTCTCCTTTCACCCTTCATCTGGCAAGTTTTTGAAAACAAATAGAGCCCAGTATCTATGCATTGATCGGGTTGGCCTTTTTTTTCTTTTTCAGTTTTTCTGAGACTTGTTTTCTCCTATTGTCAGAGTTGTAAAAATCGTATAACCACTTACTGGTTTAACTAGTAGATTGATATTGGCTTCGATGTATTCACCAGGTCATGATGCTAAGAAACAAAGCCCTTTTTTTTGCACACCTTACACAATATTTCGTTTTGTTGTCCAGGAAACCCAATATTTTCGGTTGATTTGCATCCTGATGGATCTCGATTTGCGACAGGAGGACAGGGAGATGGAGGAAGCAGTGGAAAAATTATTGTTTGGAACACATCGCCTGTGGTAAATGCCAAAGATGAGCATGATGAAAATGTTCCTAAAGTTTTATGTGTTATGGATAATCATTTAGGTAATTTGTTGCTTTTAACTTACATTTTTCATATGTTAATATTTCAACTAAAATTTAGTCGTACGGTTTAAATTTCTAATTATTAGCTGAAAGCTGGAACAAAAAGACTAATGATTTTATATAGGCTATTGATGCAGGGTTTCCCAAACTGGGATTTGCGGACTACTGGGCCAATTTGGTGGGGGGGGGTCTGATCGATCTTTATTAATGATTGATTTCAATCAAAAAGCCAATTGAATATTTTTGGTTCATCGTTGTGGATGAATTGCTGTCAGAAAAGGCAATTAAAGCTTTATGAATCAATATGATGACAAAATTCAGGTCAACCCTTGCTGGCGGTAGAGTCAGACCTACGAGTTTTCTTGTCACAAATTGCTCAGACAATTAATAAATTGTGCAGTCATAAGCAACCTCATCCATCATAGTATTGTCGTTATGTTGTTGTGTTGTAAGGATGAATTTCATTCTTTTTTCAGCATGTGTGAACTGTGTCCGATGGTCATGCAATGGAAGATATCTTGCATCAGGAGGAGATGATAGAATAATTATGATATGGCAATTTGCAGGTATCTCAATGTGTTTTTTTACTTTTGTTATTGTAAATGCATTCTTACCTTTATGCTAACTCTCCATCAAGTTTTTCCTAAAAGAATTACTAAATCAGAAGCATTGACTGTGACATGCTGTAGTTATGTAGCCTACATATTTTAATTATTTATATATACTAGGTTATGGAGGACCTATCATGTTTGGGTCATCAGAAAACCAATCTAGCGGATTAAAAGGAGAAAGATGGAGAGTTGTTCATACTTTAAAGAGACACACAGGAGGTACAGAAGCTCCATCAAGTATTGTCTTATTCAGCTCAGGCTGGTATATGGTAATTTGAAATCCAATAACCTGCCGATTTTGCAACACAATAAAAATATTAAGAGATATCAGAATAATTTAGAAATATTCTGTACATATATTTTAACAATAAAAATCCATTTCATTATTGAAAAGAACAATTCAAGAAAGCCCTATGCCAAAATAGGATACTTTTCAAAGTGACCGTACAGTTGAACCCACATACATTTTAATTTATATGTCCGCGGGTTCAATCTATATGAGGGTGCTAAAATCCTTGGGTTAGGGTTAGTATGGGTTCAAATATACATAAAAAAAATGTCCATAGGTGCAATAGTATGTAGGTAGAATTGTTGTGGGTTCAAATTACGGGTTCAAATGTACGTGGGTTCAAATGTGTAAAATTTTTCATGTAACCATTTTTCAACTATATCAATATCTTCGACGAAAATTGCTTAATTCAATATTCGCTCCTAATACTATGATTTTTATTCGAAATCTCCATTTTTGGTAGCCCTAATCAAAGAAAATGTTGTGTCTAGTTTAACTTGAGTTTCAAACATTCAATGCCTGGTGCCATGGTGAGATTTAAATTGATTGTTGTACCTGATATTGTTTTGTTTCAGATATCCTGCATTTGGCTTGGTCACCCACTGATCAATGGTTAGCATCTTGCAGTATAGACAATACTGTAGTTGTATGGAATGCTTTGAAATTTCCTGAAATTACAACAGTCCTGAGAGGACACACCAGTTTGGTAAAGGTATGCAAGTTGTCGCAAACTAGGATATTGATATTCAATTCTTTTTTAGTTGATCATAGTTTTATATAATGGCACTGTGAAAATAGCTGCTTCCCTCAATTTACATTTGCTGTGTTTTTATATTCTTTCCAGATAATTAATCAAACATTGAGTTGCAAGCCATCTGCAGCCCTCACTTTGACTTGTATGCTTTTTTCTCAAGCATAACCTCCACAGGTACACATAATCAATCACATCATTCACAAATCATAATATTTATTTGCCCCGTCAAAGTCCTGAAACTGCTGACTTGCTTTAATTCTTGGTATTTTTTTTATGTCAGGGTGTGACTTGGGATCCAGTAGGGACATACCTTGCGTCTCAATCCGCTGATAAAAGTGTAAAGATTTGGAAAACTTTGGACTGGAAGCTTGAGCATACTGTTACAAAACCTTTTGTGGAGGTAATTTTAGAGAGCAGTTATGAGAGTTATTCAAGATCCCTGCTGCACATTATCACAAATAAATTTATCTAACAAATGTTAACGACTGGAATCACTTAGAATAGGTGTCTTCATTGTTGCTCTTGCTACGGCATCCTTGTATCATATTCATACGAATCCATCAGTGGGTAGTTCGTCGCACACAAAATTAATTGATAGCGCAAGTTTTATTTCAATTTTGGAGTACCCAATGAACAATTACTATTAAAAAAGGAGTGAATGAGTGAAGCACTCTCTCTTTCATCGCCTTATTCAGGGTCTAATAAATAGGATAGTTATGTCAAATTGGAATTCAATTTTTGAAATCTTTTCACTCTATATATCAGGGGACAGGGGTTATTCTGCTAGAGCCTATTTCAGATAAAAGATGCTTGGAGTCACAAAAATTAATTGCAACAAATTTTTTTCCAGTGTGGTGCAACAACTCACGTTTTACGTTTGGATTGGTCTCCTGATGGTGGTTACTTGGTATCAGCTCATGCAATGAATAATGCTGGACCAACTGCACAAATTATTGAAAGATCAGGATGGAAAACTAACATGGATTTTGTTGGTCATAGGAAAGCAATTACATGTACCAGGTAGCGAGTATTTTTTCATTATAATTCTTTACAGAGTTGCAGTAATTGTAATGACAATAATAGATAAGAAATGTTAAAAGTTGTTATATACTTATGAAGCAGGATAAAGCAAGGACAGTTAGAAAAGTGAAATCTACAACATCATCTGATTTAAAATATGAATAATTCAGAATTCCAATTATAATGAACTGAAAAATTTTAATGATTTTTTATGGTCAGTATACTGAAAACAATTCATTGCCATGACTATATAAATTATCATTTTTATTTGGTATATTGCAGACTGCAGAGATTATAAATTTTTCAAACTAATTTCTGCATTTTCTGCCTGCAATGCTGCAAATCACCGGAAATATTTTGATTTTATCAACATTTAATTATGACAGGGAAAAGTTAGTTAAATTATATGTACATTTTATTAGTACGATACTTCATATTTGTTTTGCGCATGTAAATGACCTTACCATGATACCAACCCTGAATTGAATGTCTGGTATAGCCAGCTTTACTCTGGTATGGACGCTATTTCTATGTCAAGTTCTAACACGGCAGTGCCTCAATATTTTGTGATGTTTGCGAAATGATCTGAGACACAAATTAAATCAATGGTCAATGGTGCATTGCTTGAATTCGTTACTAGTCATTCTCCATCAACCTAGCAGTTGTTTCTACAAATTTATTAGAGTAATTTATATTCTTACTTTGTTAAGATTTAATGGTTGTATGTTTCGACGCCATCCTGACAAAGCAGCGGGTGAACCAAGGCTACCATATACTTGCTGTGCAATAGGCAGCAGAGACAGATCATTATCTGTGTGGTTAACATCACTCCAACGTCCATTAATTGTTGTCAATGATCTATTCGATGATTCTGTTATGGACGTTACTTGGTGAGTTTGTTTTGCATTTGTAGATTGTATTACTGTGGTATTTTATTTCAGTTATTTAAGGTGCTTTGCTTGTCAATTACAGTTTCAACCCCCATTTCAAGTCGATTGTCGAACAATCAACTAGTTGGAATAGTAATGTCTTATCGACATTCCTCTCACAGGGAACCATGAAATTTATCATTTTTTTACCATTTCCATTATTTTTACAAAAGCATTTATAAAAAAGCCATGTATCCATTTTGTCCAGGTCCTTTGATGGGAACAGTTTACTTTGTTGTTCTTGGGATGGTTCTGTTGCATATTTGCAATTCACACCACAAGAAATAGGTGAAGCTCTCACTAGGGAAGAGATGGTAAGTCTGTTGTTTTTAAGTGTTAAAGTTTTGCATCACCAAGATATTTTAATATTTGTTAGTTTGCCAAAAACCTTGCATGGTTTTGTACGCTGGTTGCAGCTCTGCTCTGAATAAGGCAACAGACTAGAAACCATGATATTGATGAGCTAGTATATTTTTGGAAGTATGAAAATCCTATTTGTTTCCACATTCAGACAGCTTATCCAATTTATTACACTCATTGGAGTGAGAAGATGAGTAGAGTGTGATCCTGAGATATTTAATTTAGCATAAATGGGAATAACATGTTAGCCACTGGGCTATCCCATCCAAGTCTTAGAGCAGTGAGTCCCAACCTTTTATGGCTTGCAGCTTCCTTTCGGAGTAGTAGTTATAGTGTTATTTTGATTGGTGGATTCCAAATCCTATTATGTTCGTACAATTCTGCACAAAAAAGTGAAATAACCTCCTCAAACAATGAAACTTGGAAGAGGGGGGGGGGTTCTTGTAAAGGGAAAAGTAAAATCAGTTTTGGGGCTAGCATGGTGCCTTTTCCCCCAACTGCTCTGTGGCCCCTGGTTGGGAATCGCTGTTTTAGAGTCTTTGTGTAACAATTAGTTTCGTTTTACAGAATAATTTGCACAAGAAAACGTATGGGAAATCGATGTCAATTATGTCACAACCTCTGGTTATTGAAAATCCAGCTATGCTTGCTCTTCAGCAGCAGAAGAAAGCAGGAGATGATGCCGCTTTCAAGAAACCTCAACAAGATCCAAAAACACCTACGAAGTATCCTGTGAGTTGACACTCCTATTGATTGTCCAAGTAGGAAAAGAATGAAATCAAAATATTTTAATTGAACGTACTGTGGTAGGTAAGTTATCATAGGGCTCCGCATTTAGCGCATTGTGCTAAGTGTTTGGAATACGCTTTCTATCGCACCTCTGGTTACCCTGACTTGCGAGAGTATGTGTGTTCGACTCCCGTGAAGGCTAATTATGTGAGAGAATATCACCAGACTTCTCTTTGTTGTAGGGGGGAGGGTCATGTGACCGCTGGTGAGTTATGGCTTGCTACATCATCAAGTTCAGGCATCTGAAACAAATGACTGGTTAGTATTTCCATACCCAACCCAGACTGGTAACTGAACAAGAGGCATGGTTCGCCTTACGATTATCAGCTATCTTCTCTCCTGGAATAAATATGGAAATCCTATCCTATATGTATAAATACTAAATATGTAGGCCCAACAACATTTTCAAGCTGTGCAAAAATTATGCGTTCGCATTGAATACATATTTGAAGAAATTTTATTGGTAAGTGAAAATAATCTCCTAATAATAATAGAGTTACTATCAAAATACCCTTTTTTCAATAACTGTTTAGACGAAGCAAGTTGAAGTTCGAACACAGGCAGGGAAAAGAAGAATCACGCCTGTATTTGTTGCTCCCCAGGAAGATTTAGGGTAAGACTTTCCAGTCTGTAGCAGCTCGTTACCTAGCAGTGGCTTCTTGTGCAGAGCCTTGTTCAGAGCAAAAGGTGTTCAAATAAGTAGTATAAGTTTCTTTATTTTTCATTGCTTTGATCCATTACCTTCTATGACTGTTTACAAAATTTTACTACAGCGGGATTCCAAGACCATTTGGCAGTGCATTTGGATCTTCAACAAACTTGTCTTCAAATTTAAGCAAATCACCACTGAAGCATAGTCGCACAACTACACCAGAGAAAAGAAGGGTATTTTGTTACAGTTTTTCCATAATTTACTGAATTATATACCGGTACTCATAAATCATATTATTTGTTTAATCGTTTTTTTATTGGGTGTTTTACATCTTGTCCCAAGTAATACTTTTGTAAGCTGATATGATATATTATCTTTTTCGAAAGAGTTTTTTTTATACCAGCATTTGTTTAATTTTTTGATCACACCTTGGAGAATGGGGTGGGCTTTGGGAGAACGTAATTTGGTGTGATGTCTACAACATGTTATTAATTTTTCATTCGCCTAGCTAGTTAGAATACCCATTTGAGTCAAGGGTATGAAACCTTTACTACTAGAGACACATACAAATAACTGGGTGAAATCGTGGGCCGCACCTTTGTTTAACATACGCTTTCTAGTAGTTGTTCATTGATCTTATGACATGCGTTGTTTGCTTTGAACAAGGTAGCTGTTAGGACATTGTAATTGCCATAGATAATAAATTGGACCCTGGTATAAGCTTTGCAACACAACAGGATTTGAATTACTCGCACGTACCAGATTAAACTAAATTAAAAACTCGTTCCGCGGACCGCACACCATTCAGAATTGGCACTTCACCATTGGCTACATAAGTTCTCCTTGTGGGCCGTATTTGGCCCGCAGGCAGCAGTTTATACACCTGATTTAGGCCATCTTCGAGTCCATAGGATATGTTTTCAAGATTTTTTACTTACTCAATAGAGCGATTCAGAAAAATCCAGTCCCGGTATGCAACAAACAACCCCAGGAAAATCATCATCTAGTCAGTCTGATCATGTTATCAAAGTTGGTAGTGCAAGCAAAGAAAAACAAAAAGATAATGACAACACTCCATCACATGTAAATGGTGAAGTGACGACATTGCCATTCAAGAAAGACAAGGAAATTCTTATAGATAAAAGCATCCAACTTGTTGAACAGGTAGTGCATTTAATTTTTTTACTTATTTTCAGTTAATTCACAGAAACATTATTCAATCACACTAGCCTACCATTACCAATAAGACAAATTATCTCAACAATTTCATCAAATATATAACTATTACAATTTGATGATAACATATTCTCAAATAGTCAAAATTGTTCCAAAGCTTGTTTTGTTTATGTGCCAACTGTAATAATAAGTGCAATAAGTTCAATTGTGATGTAAATAATTATGTAATAATACTGAATGTAAATTTTTTACAGACTGACTTTATACCGGTAAGTCCTTCAGTTTATATTAAATTTAAATTTTTTTTTTTAACAGAAGAAAGTAGTATTGGATCACAGAATAACTGAAAAGACCAAACCCAGCATACCACAATCTGCTGCTGAACCATCTGACAAGTAGGACTTCACTTTACTTTTACTAATTTTTGTCAATTTCTACCTCATTTACCTATGGTTACGAAAAGATAGGTGGTCTCAAAATACTTATGAGTCGATTTAACAAATATATATTGTTAATCATTCTACACTTTTGAAAAATAGTCATAATGGTGATTGTGAAGTCAAATTTAGCAAAAGCTTTTCGAAATTTAACATACTGTAACTTTTTAAATCATTTTCATTCTTTTCTCACTTGTTGTTTTTAGATTATCTGCTCAAAAAATCCCAGTGAAAAGCAAATCGGGTGCGTTTTTACTCTTTATTAATTCCAGATTGAGGATTTATCACTATATTAACATTAGTACAACCAATTTTGTCAGACAAAAAATTGACCGAGAAGAATGCAACTACAAACAAGGATGTCAATGATTCTGTTACTTCTGTCATTGCAGCAGTTTCAACTCAACAAAAAAAGGTTGGAAGACCTCCAGGTTGGTGAAATATGTATTAAATAACAGGTTACATTCTGGCTGCACTCAATCGATCATATTCCAGCATCAGTTTGGTAACACCTGTATTATATGGAACAAAAAACTATTTTATTCAAAGTACCAATCCTAACATCTGTTTATATGATATACTATGAAGAACTTGGATCTCCTTTTTTAGGGCTTAACATGAAGCGCAAGGCTAATGATTCAACACCTATTCCTCATGCTTCACCAAAACAACCAAAGAGAGTTAAAAAAGACAACATTGTTACTCCTTCACAATCAAGAAATCAAACACCTGCACAACAGGTGGGAGTTTTATTATCTAGTGTTGTAGAGCAGTGGTTTTTAAACTTTTTTTGGCACATTAGTGGGGTCTGAATTTTGCTCTGGCATGCATGATAATGTACATTCTGAAGGGTGCGAGAATTAAGTAAATTAAATGGACAATAAGCCACAATGGATTTAAAATATAAGTTCAAAAGCACTAAATGGCCACTGTTATGAATAGAGGGAAAGAATAGGAGTGTCATATTAATATGATATTTTCTGTTAAAAATGTATTTGTTTGCTGCAAAATTATTTATTCATAAATCTTATTTTATTCAGTCGCTGATGAGTAGATTATTACCTCTACCACCTGTGCAAATGCCTGTCTCTGTGGATAAATTAACTCCAAAAAAAGTTGTCAAGACTCTGTCAATTAAGGTAAGAAACAGAGGGTAACTGATTGTTTATAAATATAGCTCATTCAATTGTATTCCATGTCCCCAGCTTGTATCACTAGCCTCACATGCCTGACACTTGCCCCATATTTGTGTCTCTCGTCCGCTTTGTATCGTTTGTCCCATGTGCCCTGCTTGTCTGACCCCATACACATAAGTGTGGTACAAGTGGCACAAATGCGGGACAAGTGGGATACATCATTTTTGAGACACTTTATATTGTCTTTGAAGTATGTTACACAGAACTGACTGCTGAGAATTGCTGTCGTATTTGGTGCATTCTGTTATATTCACTTATCCAAGTTTTTATCTTTAATTATCTGGAATAATTTTTCTTTTGATGTTGTTTATGCATGTCTCAGTTTCTATCGCCTGTTTTTCAAAGATTGGTGACCGGAATAGATTGATAGGATAGGATTTTCATACCCGAAACCCGAAAAATAAAAAAAATTTACTCGCGTTTAATAAACATTTCTTGTCAGATTTCCAATGCTGATGAAACTTTTGAATTGAAGTTACACAATGATTCATTAGCAATGCAACAAAGTCAGAAGAACTCATTTGCAATGCATAAGATAGTATGTACCAAGGGTTCAACGGCAGAATGGGAGTCTGTTATATCAGCACCTGGCGTTGTCATGGACGGAAATAGGTACTGATTAATATAAATTATATGATAATATTTTCTTCAATGCCTCCCAAACAGCCAGCAATAAGCTTGCAGATTAGTATCAGGAATACCTTATCTATTTGAGTTCATAATTGGAGGACAGATTATTGTGTTTCTGTGGTCGAAATGAGAACTCTTGTGGTAGAAATTATGAGTAGGGCTGTCCAAAATCGAATAATTTTTTGATTCGAATCGAATCGAATATTTTCGCCGAATCGAACCGAATAATCGAATATTATTGCGCAATAGTAAATCTGTCTCTATTATACAATAAACGCCTGCCCCTTCGATGTTGTGGTAACGTATGTGCAGTTACATCAAAGGAGATCACACGCTTGTATGAACTGGTCAAAAATTTGGAGAACTCCAAAATTTGGGTCTCGAAAACTGTTGAGTGTTAAGAGTAAAAATTGCACTATTCAAAAATTGCAATCTCAATTTTGATGGATTCAGTTTTAGTAGGACATATAAAGCCTGTAGACGCTATTTTAATCCTATTCACTAGTCTTATGTTTTTTTGTGTAAATTTCAGCAAAATAATAACAACCATCAATATAGATAAAACTGTTGCTCAAGTTCAAAATTGCATTTAAAAATTCCAAGCTAGTTTGATGACAATATTATTTGAGGACTATAATATTGTTAGTGTACAACAGCCATCAAAATGCAAGAGTGCAATTATTTGTCTTGGTATATAAATGGATAATACAGTAATGCCATCATGAGAAATTTCAAATTCCATTTAAAGAAGGTGTTGCCATCATAAGGATCCCAAAACACCTGTTTCAGCTTTGAGTTGCCTGTACCATGTTCCTATGATAACTAACTCAACAGCTTCAAATCGATTCTATTTATACAACTATCGTTTTCTAAATTGTCTCCTTTTTCTCCTTGTTCTCTCTCAAAAACGTCACGATCGACTATACCTTGTTATGATGACCACGCATGAAATGGCTAATCACGTGCCACCGGGCGGGCATTAGTAATGACATGTTTATCACAAAATGAAGGCGAGAGAAATATCGGGAAACCAATTAAGCAAGTCGGGAGCGAGAGTGGTCTGAGCTCGGAGCGCCGCCGCTTGCCCGATGAAAAACATCCCGTAAAGGTGGTTTCCGCTTTATGTACCGGTACCTAATTTTAGCGATTCGAAAATTAGCCGAAAAACGATTCGAATAATTTGCGATTCGATTCGATTTCGAATATTCGGTTCGCTTGGACAGCCCTAATTATGAGTATAATATTTAATAGAATGAAATTTTAACACACTAACGTTTGGAAGATTAGGAATCTTTAGGGTTCGGCATTGCCTACCCAATTCATTACACACTGGGTGAAGTTGTGGGCATGGGTTTTGAACCCAAGATTCTAATATATGTCAGAGTTTTGTCTAATGCTTTAAAAACTAAGCCACCGCGCCCAAATTTATTCTCAGTTTTCTTATAATTGCTGGTATTGGTAGGATAGCATAGGGTTCACATATTTATCCTGTGGGAGAGGAAAATCGACAAGACTTAATCATATGTCGAACCACTGCATCTCATCCGGTTACCAGTTCATGTTGGGTATGAGATTAGTTACTCTGTTTTCAGATGATTGGACTTGATGGTGAAGGAAGCCGTAACCGACCAGTAGTTACGTGAACCACCCTACGACGGTTGGGAGTCCAGCAATCCTCTTGCACACAAGTATCCGAACAGGATCATCTCATAATTATGTTTTCAATTTTCTCAGGTATATTGTTTGCATTGCATGCAAGGACCAAACAGTGAAGCTGCTTTCAATGTTATCAGGAAGACAACTTCTACCTACTGTTTGTGTTAAAGGAAAACCATACTCTGTTACATGCAATGGATGGAATGTAATGATCGTATGCTGTGACGCCTCTGTTAGTGTTTGGTATGTAGCGTAAAACAAATTCTTGTTCAGCAGTCAGACAGTAAATGATGGAATAAGATTTTCATAGGACGACTTATTGATATGGCGTACAATGGAGTCACGTCCGGTTACCAGTCGATGTCAGGCCCTACGGTGGCAAGGAGTTCAACAATACTCTCACACCTAATTATGCCCCACAAGATGATTGGAACTTCACACAAGATCGAACCCACACAGGGTAATTAAAGGTGCCACGGCACAGGTACCTCCAAGCCTCAGTTCTATGACCAATTAGATCGAGATTTTTTCATGTATTGTATTGTGCTGATATAGTGGTTTTTCAGTGATTATTTTAAAAAACTAGGCAGTACAATACCAGAGATTTGATAGGATACCCCTAATCATATTCCATATCATGGTGATACCATGTGTAGTTAACCAAATTAGTTCAGGAACCGGATTAGCTTGGGAGTTGATAATTCCAAATGAATGGATGATGGAAGAATCATGATATCATCTGTCAATGTGACAGGTATTTTGTACCTATTGTATGTTTGTGCAGTTGAACTATGGACTGGAAAGTTTCAAAAGTCAGTTATATGTAATAGTCTCAGGAGTCAGCAATATCATTCTTATTATTTCAGGGATACAAAATGTGAATCTTGTCTTATATCAAATCAATCATTTGCTCATTTACTGCCAAACACTGGTGACGCCGAAGAAACAAATACAGATTTGTTTGATGAAGTTGTTCATACGAATGACCAGCAGCGAAAAAAAGATGAGAAAAATCCATTGCACGAATGTGAATTAACAGATTCAGGACTGCCATTACTGACTTTCTCAAATAGAAAATCTTATACATTCTCCAGAAATATGTTATCATGGTAAGAAATATTGTATGTATTTTGATATCGTTCATAGGTCGCATATTGCGAACTTTAGATAGAATTCTAATATGGTTGCTAAAATTACATACTGACATAAACTTGGCCGCATGTTTTTTAACCCAAGTTTTAAACTAAGTTTTTATATGTTAGTTCGGCATTTGGTCATACAGAATCAAACATAACTTTTTTCTAGTTTTTCAGAGTTCTCTGGTTCCTTCTGATATAATACCACTGTAGTAGCTTATTTCTGATGATTCATCATTGTAACTTCCAGTAAAATACTTCTTGTCAATTTTTTATACTGCAAAGGAATATAAAAGTCATTGTTTTTTCTGTGGTGTTTGTTATCAGTTTAGATATTGTACGTTTTAATCTGCTTGTCTGACGGCTTAGTATAATTATTCTAAATCATTTCTAATTCAAGAATTTCTCATATCAAATATAATGCAATTCGAATATTCGATTCGTTTTGGCCATTCCCGCAGACAACTGTGATTTTAGCCAAAAAAATTGCTTTGGTAATACTGTTTTATTGGCAGTAAATAACACATCCAATCAATCTTTTTATTTTCAATCCAGGATTTTGGTTAATTCCATAGATGAATCAATTGAACACTGTGCTGATTATAAATCAGATACATCAAGTTTGAAAGGTGGAATACTGGATTCTCTTCAAAAGAAAGCTACTGGGTAATATTACAGGGTGGTCGGTGAATGCGTTGAACTTAACTTAATGCATTGAACTATGATGGCATCGCAAGTTAAAATCTCAGGTTTAAACCCCATGCCCACCACCTCACTCAAGGTGTATTAAATTGGGTAGCAGATGATGAACCAGAAACAACTTTAGTAGTTTCTTACCTGGAAGTGGCTACCTCTCTAGAGCCTTATTTGAAACAAAAAGTATATAAATGCGTTGTATAAAACTACTAATACATCACCTATGGTTTTTCCATTAAATCATTGGTAAATAGAAAATTCTTAAAGTCAAAATTATTATCAAAGCTATTTGTTTCTGCAAATTACTACCGGTAATTTCAGTGGGAATTTTTTGTCATTTCAACTTCATAATTTTCATTTTTCCATTTTATTTTTTCTTCAGTGTTGGTGCCTGTGCCTTGAGGATGTTTCATTCAAACACAAATTTACAGCGATGTGCAACTGCAGTCTTTTTGGAAAGTAGAGTAGAAACATGCATCGCTCTCAACTCAGTGGAGGAGTACAGTCATTGGATGCTATCTTATATAAGGTGGTACCATTGTGTAAAAAGTTTTTTGTAATTCCCTGATGTTTAAGCAATATTGTCTTGTTTTTAGAGATTCATTGAAGAATAATTTAAAAGGTGTAGTTATCCGTATTTTCTGATTTAGTTATCCCAGATAGAATACTTATGATAGCATAACACAATTTTTGTGGCTTTCAAGCCTTGGAAGAATCCTGTATAATTTTTAGTTCTGTTTTTTTTTTAGATATTTAGTTAATGAAGGCCTGGATGTGAGATTACGAGAGATTTGTGATGATATGTTAGGTCCTACTCATCTGAAATCCAATGAAATCATGGAGTCACCTACAACATCGTCATCAACATGGAAACCCTTTGTATTGGTATAATAGAATTTTACTGCTTTAAAGAATCACCTCTGAACTCAAATTGAATATTAGGAAAGGTGTTACGAGATGTACAATTTAGCTATAAATCCTTGTCATATGCTTACGGCCATTTGCCCAAGTTTTATATATAGGCCTATATATATTCAACTTAGCTCAGAGTGTACCATCTAAACTTGTAATCATCAGCCTCAATTTTTTTTCTCATATTGGTTTGTTCATAGCTCTTGTAATACAATTTACGGTAATTCGTAGTCCAAGTGTTCAACAACTGGTTGAATAGCATTACTTATCGTCAACTATATTTCATTGCCATTATGGCTATTAGCTTGAACTCATTCATTGTATCTGATTTTTTCAGGGATTGTTCAAGAGAACATTGCTACGAGATGAGATTCTGCCAATCATCGGTTCTAATTTAAACTTTCAGAGACTTTATACAGAATATCAAGACCAATTAGATGTTTGTAATGCACCTGGAAGCATTTTGCTTGGATAATGTTGTTTATTCTATTTTTTTAATATTTGATATTCAATCATAGTTGCCAAAAATCATACAAGTATGAGACCGAGACTTTTTTATGGGATCACAGCTTGCTAGACTGCGAAAAAATCGTTACGATCGATCGTCATGCTTTCTCCTTGCTCCTCCATTGACTAGTGTTCGATTCGATCTTTTTTGGTAAACTTCACCACTGTAGTTGAGGCAGGTCATTGGTCTTTCATAGCTTCATGAGTTATGTTCGAGTCAGCGTATTTTTGGTATGGTCCCTTAGGGATAGTGAAAAACGAAGAAACACTTCATTAGAAAGTGTCTCGTTGTGCAAGATGAGATCTATGGGCAGGACACGGGGTGTCAACGAGAGGTTTGTCTGAACTATTATATAGCAGAAACTGGATATATCTTCTGAATCCGTAATGATTTCTGCAGTTTTTTTTTGTTGGCACATTTAATACATATAAATAATATTTCAGTTTTTTTTATAATGGTAACCCTAGGGCAGAGGTGGGCAATCTTTTTCGGTTTGTGTGCCAAAATCTACTGAATTCAATATCGATACTCTATGGCAGGGCTACTCAACTATTTTTATCGAAGGTCCGCAAACAAAACTTCAAAATTATTTGGGTCCGGTCTTTCCAGAAATGATATTTCGGCATCCTCAAACGAGCACTTCCTTGACCGACTAATGATTAGTAGCAAATTAAAATTGTTCATTATGGTGTTATAGTTCTTTTCGTATATATTCAAAACTATGAAAGTCATTTTATAATAGGAAATTCAAAAAGTGGGGCTAATGATCCAAAAAAAATAATTAGGTGCGGTCCAAATCCAATACTCGAAAGGTCCGGATTCGGACCGCGGTCCGCCAGTTGAGTAGCGCTGCTCTATGGCGTGCCAACCGAAATTTTTGACAACATACTACTGACGTTTTTTTAAAGCTATATTAGAAGATCCTTGAAGAAATGATTAAAACTGAAAACACAGTAAAACAAACTTGGGACTTACTTATCTACTTTATTTAAGCAATATGAATAATATTAAACTTTTCAAACCAGTATCAAGTTACTTTCAAAAAAATATCAGTCCGACTAAATTTTTGTTTACTTTCCATATGCCATGTAAGTGAAACTTCCGCTGCTGCATAACCGTTGACAGAAATTTTACATCTAGTTTATATTTAGTAAACTTCAGTGAAATACACGAGCTACTGGTTTCATCAGTCAAGCTGCCAGCTTATCTCTAACTGGCATGCGTTCTTCGTTAATCTGCCAGAAATTAAAAAAATATGGGGAAGACGCGGCGGTTGGGCTCATTGTGCTAAACGTTAGGAATACGCTCGCCACCGCACCTCTGCGTGGGTTCGAATCCCATGCAGGGATGGTTATGTGAGAGAGGATTGCTGGACTCGTCGCAGGGTGGTTCACGTAACCGCTGGTCGGTTACGGTTTCATGCTTCCGAAAACAAATAACTGACTAACTAATCCCATACCCGACATAGATAAAACAATTTAAAAGATTCGAGGAATGATTGGGGTGATTGATATATGGACTCCTGGCGCACACTAGTCTCCAGGATATGGAAGGGAAAATTTGTGCTGGCCGGGAAGAAGTGAATGCGATAGAGTGATAGTGTTACCAGCGTCTATGATAATTCCCTGTTTATAGTTGTTTTGAGAATTTTACTGTACATTCACGCTAATCAGCTTGACTTTTTATCAATTGTACCGTCTGTTTTGCTGATTGTGGAGTAGGAATAAACTTGAGATTGGTCTTGATCTGACAACCTACCTTCCATGAGTAGCTTACCTGCAAGCCAAACCCCATACTTTTCGATTTTCATGTCAGATGAGATTTGAGAAAAAATTCTACGAGTTAGATTGCATTTAGGATGCGTGCTGGCCGTGCAATAACGAGCGACAAGTGACCTAATAAACTTACTAATATGGATCTTATACACCAGAAAAGTAGCGAATGTGGTATGTAACTATGGATTTTTTATGGTTTGTGCGTCAAATCGAATCAGAAAATACGCTCTTGAGCAGGTCAAGCTGCCTCAGAGAAATTCAAGATTACCAGGACAACTTCAGATTTTCACCGGATTTTGGAATGTGTTTACCGATAGGGATTTGTTCAAAAAGAATTGTTTTAAAACAAATCAAGTTTTTTTTGCCTGTTTTGTTCAAAATGGCTGTACTATTTGATTTTTTTGTATTAAATAGGTTGAAGAAAAATGGATGTAAAAACTTGCCAAGCTTATTATTTGCAATAAATCCTTCAAAACGCCACAAATATCGATAATGGCTCATGCACACCTTCTCAAGCTGTAGTTCAGTGGTTGGCGCAGTAAGACGCAACCGATGAGCCATTACGTGAACGACCCTGCTGCGATAAAACCATCTTGCGAAAACTGAAATGCGATCGAATGAATGAGTTTGTAGGACCTTGAAAAACTCACTTCAACCGTAAAAAACAAAGTATGCTAAGCATAAATTACCCGAACAGTATTAACCGTAACAATTACTTCATTTTGTGAGAAAAATGTCAATACATGACCTCGAAATCCATATTATGGCTTCATAGCAGATTAGTTGTGGCGTCTTTGCATCAGAGGACTATTACAATTGTCAATTAACGTAGGCTAGGTCAGGGTGTCTCATCGTTCATATTAGTAGATTACCGCCAATATAAGCATTTTCTGCATTATCGCAACCCACTCGTTTTGCCGAAGGGCTGCACTTGATCGAATTGCTTTTGTAGTAAGCTCGTGAGCTAATTTTCCTGATTTTTCTTACTCAAAACGTCTTTCTGATATCTCGGCTAAACATTCCGGGTAAAATCTTATGACTTTGGTGGAGATATAAAGTGGCGATAAATGTACGCAATAGCGGTAAAAGTCAAAATAAAAAATGTTACTTACATTTTCGAAATTATAATTCCGGGTGCGTGTGCAGCTGCCAGAATGCAACGTTTTGGTGTAGTTTCGCGGCGATGCAAGGGATATTTCAATAAAAAATTTGATTTAAAACAAGCCCTTGTTTTAAAACACGATGTTTTTTTAAGAATTGATAAAAAACAAAACCCTACTTACCGACAATATTGTTACAATTTCTCTGACTAAGATAAAACCGGTGTGTAGCGAATGTGGAATTTAACTATGCATTTTAGTGTTATTTTAACACCTTTGTATTAATAGCATATTGAATTCAGTTGAAATACGTCATTTTATCAATCTCCCTGATGGTGATTTATCGTAGCAAGGCTTTGCTCCTCATGCTTCTTTGTATCGAGTGTTCTTCGTATCGACCAATCTGTGACGCGTTTGCGACCTCCATTCGAGAATAACGTGTTTTTCATGTTTTGCGCAATATTACTGATTTGGATTTCAACCTTGTAACTGATAAGGCTCAACCGTATATTTCAATATATATGTTTGAATTCAATTCGATCTTGAAACTTCACAATATACGAACATTGGCATAACAATCTATTGTGTGCTTATTGACCTCTGAAGCAGTTGTGGGGTTCAAATTTTTTTGTCAGCCGGTTCCATCACAAAAGACGAATTTTTCAGTCGGTTCTGTTACAAACATAACATTGACGATAATCATTGAAGCTAACCGGTTCGCTGATCTCATAAAATTCCTTGAGTCGGTTCTATAGATCGGCTGAATCCCACCACTGCTCTGCTGAAGGAGTCAGTTGGGGCTCACTCCGCTAACGTACGTCTATTAGTAGTACGGGGATACGGGCACGTAGATAGGGGCATTCTCCCCTATAATTCAGGGGAAATAATACAACAGTATTCGAACATATATATTAGATAATTCTACCACCAAGAACAATTGGACCTGCATATTTTGGGACCTCCAGAAGTATGTGCCCCAAGATGCCGCACAACCTGAACATGATATGTGTACCAGGTTGGGGTTCAGGTTGTGCGCCAACTTGGTGCGCATACCTCGGGAGCGTCTACTTTTGCCCCCATGAACAATTGCATCCGTGTACATTTGCACCCATGTACATCTGCACCCACAGATATTTGACGTGGGTGCAAATGTACTTGGGCGCAAATGTCTGTTTCTATTTTTTTTCTATCTCCCAAATTTATTTTGTCTGCGTGATTGTATGTGTGTGTGTGCGTGTTTTAATTAACTTGATACTTTCGGGTAACACTTCTTTTGACAACACCTTTCAATCTGAAAACTGTACGTTTTAAACCTTAATTAGAGTTTTGTTCGCGTTCTTGAATCTGTAATCAGTTCTATTCATTTTGTTTTTATTAATTATTTTATAGTCTTTTATGGAGTCAAAATATACCTATATAATTAAATTCACCCACAATGTGCCCTTTTATCCATTGTCGGTTTCATACGAGCCCTATTAAAATTATTGCCACGAATTTATTCGGGATCGTGATGACATAAACTAATGCATGCTCAATCAATTATCTATTCTAAGTTATAAATTAACGGTGTTCGCGAGTTTATGTTGAATCATTTTGGCGGATCTAGAGTTCATTACAGGATACATATTTTGCGCCAAAAAAAAAACTGCCCGTTTTGGATGGCTCGTCTGGAATACCGTTTCTAATTTTTCATTTCAACATTCTCGCATGTACAGCAGGTATGTTCAGCGCAGTGAGAAATTACCTTGAATGCATCTTGATGACACTGCGTTCGATTATGCCACGGGGAACTTTCAGTTTTTACTTCACCCGTCTTTTTATTTGCGATTCAAACCACATAGGGAAAAACAATATTAACATTCCTCATTGACAATTTGAAACACGGGCCACGTGATTGCTGGACGCCATTGGTAATATTCATTTTATGCAAGCGTGTCGAGTTTTCCACCTGTATGAAGTGATAAATATTTCCTGTTGCGACTGCTAACAAACAATTGTGAAGCTCGCATATATTGTATTCTCACGATTCCCCATTGCTTAAAAAACTTTTAATATACGCAGAAACAGGTGATTTATTTTAAATATTCCTCTAAAATGCAAAAATCATGCCAAAACCTTTTCAAGAATGAACATTCCCATTCGTCACCAAGAGCCATATTAAAGCAGTTCGCTCCATTGCAATTTCAGATTCTATGTGAAATCTCTTCTTACATTCCAATGATGTGATAGGTAGCAAAATGAAAAGTCAAACAACTTCTACACCGGCAAAGGTAGGTACGTGTAATGAATTTGTATGAAAAACAGGGTAATATACTACAATATCCTTTGGCAGTGCTTTTGTGTAGACCTTTGGTACATCACCTATCCGCATCAGCTTTATCCGTGGCTTCTCGCTTCTTTTCTTCCATAATCTCAATAAGCTTATCAGCATCTTCACTTGTTTTTACTCGAATCAGAAAAGCCACAACCTACAATGAAGCAGAATACTTATAATCTCCTGGTCACGGATATCGCTGTACTAAAATTAGAGCAAACTACAGGGTAGGTACAGGGAACCCATAAATTCCTTAAGTACTCCTACAAAAATGCAGGAAATTCATTCAAACTCGAACTTCTGTTTGTGTATGATTGTACTCAAAAATTTCAGTAATCTAGCTTAGCAAAAAAGTTGTATCCTCTCTAAAATATATACCCTTGACAAATATTCAGCGTCTGTCTGAAATACTTTCATCTGGTTCATGCATAGCAATTGGTGTAAGTTGACCTAACCAAGGGGATGGCATGGTCATTTCGAGAGAAATATATTATATTCGAAGGAATATCATGGATGTTTGCAACACTCTTTCAGTATTTTGAAATATACTGTTCGAGTTTATCAGCTTATAAATCAATTATTCAAACCATTTTTTTCCAGCCAGTCATGACATTTAGTTTATCGAAGGTATTGCATTAGGAGATACCTGAAATGTAGTACAAGACAGAATGCTCTAGGCAAAATTATTTTTTCTTATAAGAAAATATTAAGCTCACCTTGTCCTTTTCTTTTTCATTAATTGGAGGATTAGGAATACACATTATCAATACATTATTTTTTCCTTGCTTTTTAACTGGAATCGCAGGAATAAGGTGAATGTTAAGCAAGATCTGACTTATTGCAGTATCAGCTCTGATGACTAATTGTGTTTTGTCTCCAGATGGCTTTAGATAAAGTTGTCCAACACCCTTGTCAGCATAAGCACCTTCCTTTTTATAGTAAAGTTTGCACCTGTAGGAATAAATTGGAATACTTCTTCATTTAACTCTATGATAGGCTGTTATCCCTATAAGGCCCCCCAACAACATTTCGAAAACTGCACCTGATAGAGTAGAAAGCTTCTGGATCCGCAACAACATTACTTTCGGGTTTTGGTGGAACATATTCCTCTTCGTCTTTACCCTGTAAAAACAATCAACATATCTCTCATCCATAAGAACAATTTTATTCTAAAAACACTGACTAGATCTCAAACAGAATTTACCTGCCCGGACGCTTGCTGGGTTGAGCCTCCTGAACCGACCATGGATGAACTAAATGAAAATCCCGGAAATGCAGTTGTTTTTGAAACATTAAATCCTTTGAAAGGTGAAGAAGTTGTTGTGGAAGTTTGAAATCCCGAGAATAATGGTTTACTGACTGGAGCATCAGTTTTAGAGTTAATTTCAATTGGTTTTGGCTCTTCTGTTTTGCTACCAAACCCAGTCAGAGAAAACTTTGGTTTGTCAGAAACGCTTGAAGTTAGAGAAGAATTTTGAGAAGACTTTGGAGAAACTGTCTCTTGTGAATCTGATACTTGGAATGAATTTTGCCTGGAAGAAATATAGTTCAATCAATAATTACTGCAGGGTATTTTTCGTACAAAAGACATAATCAATGTGATTGTATTGAATAAATGTGGAATAGCTGTGCATTGAACTATTTTTTCAATCGATTTAAGTCCATTTCCAAATAATGGCAAGAAATTTTATGAGATTTTAACTATTGAACAGACCGAGATGGCGAGATCACAAAAACTTTTACCAATTTGTTTTTACTGTAATTTATAAACAATGTTCGAAATTTAATGTAACATATTTAAAACCGTAAAGCATTTCTTATTAATTCAGCAAAGAATAGCATAAACGGTACATTACTTACGATGAACCTTCATTGTCTGAATGTCCATACTTGTCATCTATTTCAGATAAATATTTTTTATAATCTAGGAAAATAGGAGTGAGATCGCACAATGGATTCTTTTCCACATGATTCTGAAATTAATAATAGGTTACCAAAAACTTCTCGAAACAAACTATTTTCACATTTATGAATCAATTGGAACTGAGTGGCTCATAATGGATCAGATCAACAAAATTTTATGAAATAGACATTGATTCGTTATTGACTAAATTGTACAACTAAATTTTCTATTCTAGCATTCAAATAAAAATTGCTCCTAACAAAATATATTTTGCGATTGATAGGATACCTTTATCCATTCACTAACACTTCGATTCAAAGCACTGAGCTGCCTGTTGTATTCTCTTGAGTTTTGTGTTGTATCATCATCACTCGACTTTATTTCAATAGTTTTTGAAATTGTACTATCTGCGGCTAAAGTCAAAATTAAGCTCAGATAAAATAAATAAATTGTTATAATACCACTGAAAAATATTAAATAGGCATTAAACTTGGGACCTTTGAAGTTTGAATAAGAATTAGTTTCAAATCGTGCTATCCCAGATGTGTTTGAAATCACAGGCTGAAGATTTCGAGTTTAAACTCCAAGTGCACATCTAAAGTGTAATATATTAAGTAAAGTCAGACAGTATACCAAACTAAATATCATAATCCTCATGAAACAGTAGCTTCTACATGGTTGTGACTTGTGAATGCTGGTCTTATAGCCTTGTTCACAGTTTGGGTGAATATTCAGTAAAAAAAATATTTACTTTTGGATTCTAACGTCCTAGTAGATGATTTATCCCCTGATGAAGATTGAATAGTTGGCTGAGTTGCAGCTGATCCACTGGATCCAGTAGATTGAAACATTGAAAACGGTTTCATTTGAGAAACATTGCTTCCATTACCAGAAGTCGGTAGATTGAAACCACCGAACGAAGGTTTGGTACTATTTGTTGGGGCTTTTAATCCACCAAAACCAGAAAATGCCGAGGCTGTCTGAAATAAATCCAATTTGAAAAATCTTATTCAGACATAATAAGAATATAGTAAAATCTATGCTCTACCTGACTATAAAACATATTAAAAAAAATCGAAAAAATAGAGATAGATATAATAATTATGTATGCGTGAAATAATTGAACACTTTTAGGTGACCACGGACCACTTCCAAATTTAAATACTGTATAAGACTATCAGTGTATGCTTTAAATCAGAGGAGTGCAATATCCAGCCCGTCGAACATGTTTGGCACGTTAAAGACTTTATTATCCATTATTATTATTTTAGAAAGCTTTATTTATAGGAATTTGAAAAATTATCCATACAAAAAGTAATCTCGATGCCACTTTGATATATCATCTCACTTGCTTAATGTGATCTCAATCGTATACCAAAGTGGCAATAATTGTGGTAGCACTTCGGCACGCGTCTTATCTCATTAAGATATTCTCATCGAATTCGATTTCTAACCCTAACTAAAATCACACTACTAAGATCGCATACCAAAGTAGCACGGAAATCTTTTTTTTGCTAATGTTAGCTCAACTTCAAGTTGCTAGAAACTAATAGGTTGTTCGATGGTCTGGCCCTCAGTGTCGCCATATTTTTTTGTTTTGACCCATTGCGATAAACCTTACTTTAGTTTTTGTCAGTTTGTATGCTCACCTGTAATCAATTTTTATTTATACAGTTAGAGACTAAGTTTTTATAAATTATTTTATTGTCTGACTATGAAGTCATTTTGCCTGTCTTGATTATGAAGTCGAAATAAGCTTAACTATACTTAAAATATAAGTAAAATGATAAAATTAGTCTACTGAATTATTATGTTATCCTGGTTCAGCATAACTATACAATACAACACCATTTAGTAATTATTCTGTTATTTGCAACACTCACCGATTGTTGACTGCTACCAACAATCCTACGCTTTGCTTTTCGAATAACACGGGTTTGCAAAACATCATTATCCGCTGTCTTGAATGTTCCAGAGTTATCGTCATCATCAACCTCATCTTCCTTGTCCCAATTTTGGTCTGTTAAGTATTTATCAGCGACACGCTTCGACATCGTGGCGCTAGACCTAGTTCACTCATTCACGAATCGCAGAATTGAGCAAGTAACGTGCAAGTGACCAAAATAACCCTGCTGAGGAACGAAATACTGTATCTTCAATAAGGCACATATCTGAGGCACATCTGGCTTCTAGTGGAGGCATATGCCACGAGAATATCGAGGCATCTAAAAAAGTTCGAAATCACTATCGGGACAATAAAAGATTAAATTCATTTTATATTTTGTAAGTCTTAGTTTCATATAACGTTAGGCCTATTTGTAAATATTAGAGTAGGATAAAGTAAATATATAGTTTAAATTAAAAGTAACACTACCTGTGAATGCGTGCTTGAGGAATGATTCTTCAAAATGCTTGCCACAAAATAACTTCGGGACGCGTTTATTGTAATAATAAATTTAAATATAAATAGAAAAAAATCGGTATTGATTGAAGTTAATTTGTATGGTGATAAATGAAAAATTTAATTTTTCAACAAAATTATATCTTTGTAATGTTAACAATAAACTAGAGGCCTTCAATTCGTATTTTTACCGACTGTGGTTCTGTGCATTCACATGGCACTCGTTCTGCTTCCAAAGGAGCGTTTTTCAATCCTCGAATAAACTCAAATTTAGCTCAAAATTTAATCAGAATCATTGGGCTCAAAATTTGAAATGATATTCCTGACATTTTCAAAACCTCCTCTTATAAAAAGTTTAAATCTGAGTTCATGAAACAAATCATATCCAAATATTAATTATGAAGGCAAATCTATTTTCAAATGAATACTGGTGTGGATATGTCATGTATAAGAGTGTATTTATACCTGGTTCTCCCCAGTTTGAAAATATTTGTGCCATGTACATGTCCAACCGTATACTCTTTAATCTACCAATATTTTCATTTTTATCAAAATTTTAAAACCTACATCTCTAAATTGTGTAGAATATCGTATTATAATATACAGTATTGTAAAAATATATTCACAGTTTTCTTCCTTGCCAAACCATTATTAAACATTTCATAATATTGCACGCTTAATTTTTACGCATGGTACCGCTTACATTTACATGGTGGATGTTTTATCTATGACTTCCCTGGTGTGTAACGTTATCTATGACTTAACTGGGATGTGCGTATGATTGCAACCTAAGAATTGTACTGCCCAAGTAAACACTAGTTTACTAAATTTTGCTTCAAATTTACATCAACCCTACTCACATCGTGTACATTTTAAATTTTTGTTTAATTATGCTTTTTTATAGTTTATGAACAACGCTAATTAAGTTAATCTGAAACCTAAAATCTTTTCATCTTACAATTCTTGGTATTGAATAGGAATCATACCCTACAGCAGCGGCCGGCAACCTACGGCCTGCGGGCCGGATCCGGCCCGTGGAGTAATAATAATCCAGCCCTCGACGCTTCACTGAATTTAAGTAACAAAACGGCTGTTTGACGGTTAAATTTTTTACGCAACAGAATTTATTGTGAGACTCGTGTAGGCTAAACTAAATTATATTATACCCTAACAAGTATATATTCCACAAAACCTCGTTTAATGAGCTTATAATTTAATTATATTAGACGAATGGCAACAAAACGCAAAGTTGATGCTAAGTGCAAAGGGTTCAATGGCGCTGATGAAATCAATCTATATTCAATTCGAGAGATGTATTCCTTCTTGATTTCATTTTTTATCGTGAAAAGTATCATTCGTTCGTTTTTTCAACTTTCTGAAAATAGCGAGCGAGCGACAAAAGATTGCCGACCCCTGCCAGGGTGGTCGCTAGAAAAGCAGGAAATTTGAAGGTCAGATGAGATAACGAATAAAATGCGTGCTAACTCATTACTTATCGATTTTAATAGGTAAGTATGTTGATATGTATTTGTTTGTCTGTATGTCTGTCTGTTAGATGCACGAGATATCTCACAAAAGCGAGATTGAATCTGCACCACATTTTGCATGTGCATTCATTATATGTCGTACCAGAAGCCTATTGATTTTGGATGAATTATGTCGTATAATTTGCGAGTTATTAATTAATTAGTGATGGGACACAAGGTGTAACTATGAAGTAAGAGCGCTGTTTTGGGGATCTCCTAACTTTCAATCGATAAGTCTTCGGTCTCTGACCGATATTCTCGTTTCTTTTTCGATATATACGTTTTTATTTATTTTAGGTTGATGAATGTTACCCCGAGCATCATTTCTTGTTCATTTCCGTAACAATTACAAATCAGCAATATGTTTGTTATGTTTGAATAGAAATGATAGATTTGAACATGTGAGCGAGTTTGTGAGCGCCAACTCTCCAAAACACTCGCAAAATCAGCGTTGAATATTTGGCAATAACAACGTGAATATAGGGAGAATCTTCCAGGGGTGAAGGAAACATCCATACTGGTCAGGTTTTATTCGATTTCTATTTTGAAACCCATATTGTGGAGGAAGGCAGGAAAGAGCTTTCAGACTTTGAAAGGAAAGTGGTTATTCTTTTCAATAGTGAAAATCCGACTTTCATACATATTTCGAATGGTCATCGAAAACTTTTAATTCTCGTATTTTATTCTTATTTATTTATTATGTGTTTTCTGGTTTGACGAAAAAATATTGACGAAATTATCTATATTGCAAGTTGCAACTATCACACAGAAGACACATTATGCAAACAACGACTGAAGAAAAGCTGCACTACAAATATGATTACATGCAGAGCATGTATATGGTTTGACGAAAAAATAAATTCTCTCTCCTCCTTTTCACAAGTATCACACGCAGAAAATACATTATGGAGGGTATTTGTCATCATAAAAACAAGTGTACAGGACAGTGTCACGGCAAATAACATAATACAATATTCCGTCTTTCTGCGATGTTAACACGATATTTGCTACTTTATTGTTGTATGTATGTCAATATTAGTGTATGTTATTAGTTTATCCGAAACTTCAATGGACAATTGTTAGCTGCTATAAAGCCCGTCTTATTCAACACTATAAGCATAAGGGATAAGATTAATGTTCAATGCCATTCCAGCTACAATAAAATGATGAAATTGACTCAGGTAAATAATAAGGGCGAACTCGCGAAAAGTTTATCAGGTGACGGCACATTTGCACCCAGCCACCCATGTAAATTTATTTACTCACGTAAATCGCACCTGTATACTTTTGCACCCACCAACATTTGCACTCATAGATATTTCCACCTTGAAAATTTGCACATACGCACATCTGATCCCATACTGCATACGTTTCTGTTGCCCGGGGAAAGTTTCTGATAACGATGCCACCTATTCGTATATTATCTGATATGCCTATATCTTCTGCTTTGGCTATTTCATGAGATAGTTGTGGTTTGGATTGTTTGGAATCGCAAAAATCTTGTCACCTGATCATCACAACGCTAACTTTAACTGGCCAAGCCTCCATGTATAGATTACACGGGTATAGATTACATGTATACAGGAGCAGAAGTAGTAAATGGAAGAATGTTCTAAAAATTGTAACCCGAATACGGTTAAGCACATTAAGTATATTACATGCGTGTCATGTATCGTATATAATATATCGTATCGAAATCGAACATTAAAGCTGGGCCTTTCGTTCTTACTCAGAAGTGAAGCAGATTCATCTACTTCAGGCGACCACTGAAATGCTAACAGATACTGAAACTTTGATACCGTAGAATTATGGTGATAAAATACGCGCGAACAAATTTTTACAGAAACATTTTAGACGGTCCATGAGCTTTGCGTGAAACACAAAATAGCAAATCGAAATTAGTCTAGAGCTTGCTAAGACGACAGATCGAAGGTAGCCTGACTACATAGGAAGGCATGATGTTTTATATAAAACCAAATATTATATTTCTTTTTCAACCGAGATCAATGGAATTTTACGCACACATGGCAAGTAAAATGCAGTCACCGAATGCTGCCTGAATCACACCAAATGTTTAAGATCTTGGAACATAAGGACTTAAGATATATATTACAATTCCTTGGTATTGAACCAGTCCACAAGTTGTATATTTCATCAATTGTGTATTTTACTTTCAACGTATTTTTCGCTATGGTGGACCAGTCGTACTAAAATTTCCAATGTTAATCCTTCTTATTTTGACAACGAACTTTTAGATTTTAACGCAATCTGGATTAAACACATGTTGGTGTAATTGATGCCTCAATTAGGAGAATTTAAGTTTGTGTCAGGTGAAGAAATTTGGAGATAGTATTGGTAAGTAAGCGATGCGGAAGGGCAAATAGATTTGAGAAAGTTGAAAAAAAAAACGATCGTCGCGGATTAGTTTGAAAAATTTAAGAGATAAGTGATTTATTTTCAATAATATATAATACTTTGATAACACTTATCTAACATCCACTCAAGTGATGCACACAATCAGCCAATGTCATATGCGGTGGTGGGATTCAACCGGTTCTATAAAACCGTCTCAAAGAAGTTTATGAGATCAGCGAACCGGTTAGCATTATTAAAAAAAAACATGTAAATATGACTTTTGTGATGGAACCGGCTGACAAAATATTTGAATTCCACCACTGGACATATGCATATATATACTATCAATTTAATATACATATGAAGACATTTATATAATGTACAACCAATGTCATATGTCTTATATTCAACTCAATATACATATACAGTGATGTAAAAACACCGCCAATCCATTTCATATTCATTTACTTGCTGTATATTATGTACTGATGCGCTTGCATCTACAAGTCGCAAGCTTGGAAGTCATATTGATATAATGAGTGCGTTAAGATTAGGATTTTAAACATAACTTTCAGGAACTCCAAAACGGCTTTTGATGGAAGTTACTTATAATAAGTGTAAAATAAATGTAATAAATTATTGTGATATCAGCATCATTTAGCTCTATATGCATATAACTTGGCAGTATATGTGTGGCACGTTACCAAGCCTATCGCCGATGGCCGTGGGACTAGTTCACCGAAGACAGATTTTCAATGGTGTTGTTATGACCATTACGTCTACTCATATTTTCCTATTTTAGATATTGGCCGTTCCGGAATTTTCGCAAGGGTTTTTAACGAACTCGTCGTATGGGCTGTTTTGGAGTATTATGTTTTCCATATATCTGTCCATCCGCATAGGACTGCAGATTTTTCATGTATATATCGCAATGTGCATATGTATGTTCATTGTGGAGGCAACCGCATCTGCAGCATACACATACAGTGCATGTATATGAAATGAGTTGGCTTTGTTTGTACATTCACCCAAATGGCTGTATTTGTATATTGAATTGTATGCACATGCATATGACTTTGACAGTATATGTATGCTGTATTTGGTTGGCGGTATATATATGTATATTCTTATCTGTCTATGTATGTAAAGTTCCCGTGCATGAAAATGATATTGAGGAGTGGAATGAGAGAAATCTACTAAGTTCATGAAAGCGCAAACTTGAAAAGGGTTCCAGGAAGTTCCGCGGAATACAAACACAAAATACAATTATAATAAAGTAATGATGATTTATTGAATTATTATATATTGAAAACTTTTGACAAAAAATCTGTACAAAAATGGAATAAGAAACGGCGGAACTTTAATTTTATGACGTATATATAAGTAATCTTATGATTATCTTCTTGCTTCACGTTTGAGAACATCTAGTTTGTTGGTTTCTTCTTTAAGTTGACGCTTGTAGTCATTTCTGTACTTGATTCTTCTGTTTTGGAACCAGATTTTTACTTGCGCGTCTGTGAGTCTGAGCTTATTGGCAAGCGCCCGTCTTTCAATACCAACTATGTATTGCTGGCTGTTGAACTCATTTTCCAAATGCTCCAGTTGTTTTTGAGCAAACACGGTCCTTGCTCGTTTTGACTTTAATTTCTGAGGTGTAGGAGTTGATGAATAAAAACACACATTTGGCTTAATATCTTTGCCAACTGAACGTTTTGTCTCAATAGGTACATACGAAATTGACGGTAGTTTATGATACATCCAATTTTGCTGCACAACTTTGCTTAATCCTGGATGGAAATAGTATGAATCATTGGTATACTTATACATATGATTGTAGCATTTTGTAGGTGGTATATATCCGTTGCTTCTTATTTTGGGTCGAGGTGATTGAGATAGAGCAGACTGACTGTGGCTCGATTTGGTCGTGATTTATTGGGATCACTGCCATAAATTTCACTGCCATTTCCATCCGTTCTAGTAATATTCAATTCGTCGACATCTTCAAATGACGAAAATCCCGAATCAAGTGAATCGTCTTCTCTTATTGTTGGCGGAGTATTTTGAAGTTTTCTTTTTTTGCTTGGGCTTTCGGTCGAATGTCCCAGTATTGCGTCAATTGTGAATAGGGTATGCTTCTTCTTGTTTCGGTGGTTGTTGAACTTTGTGACTGGTTTGCAGTAAATTGATGAGTGGCAGATTTTGCTCTTCTGATTTACAACGGTAACTTTCATTGAATCTGAAACATCATCCGAGGAAAATTTTCTTTTTCTTGTTGTAATTTCTTCTAAATCTGAAACGCCTGCGTAATTGAAGCGAACAAATGGCGTCCATTGAGCATTTGAGAGAGCTTGGTAAGGATGGCGATAAGAAATCATTTCGTATAGTTCTTGATATTGTCTTGTTTTTCCAATGAATGACTTTCTATAGAATGATCAATGTTTATATATTACATTTTGATACTGATTAAAATGACAATTATCATACGATTGATTAAACTTATCTGGAGCCGATCATTACTGAATTAGCCTCAAACCTATAAGTATCTGATAGCACTTATCTAATATAACAAATATAACAACTGATAAGGTTTATTAACGTTTGATCATCCTAACATATTAATTGTTCCTTATCTAATGTAAATCACCACAGCTCTAGCCTCTGAAGATATTAGGTTAATTAGGGGACAAAAATATTTGATTAAAAGATCAAAATATTTTTAAGAAGAGTCGTATGACAACCAGCCGAATTCTAACCCTGCATCATCTGGAATCATATGTATTAAAAATTTACCCCGGGCTGTTACATTTTTTTCGTGCAATCTGTCATATAAACACATATGAAGAGATTTACCACTGACAGGGTGCGTGCCTTCAGTATATATATTGTTTATTTTTGTGCACTTGTTTCAAAACTCCAAGACATTGAAATGGAAAGACATTTATCTTCGGCAGCTTTTATGTTTTCTTGAGTTGGCTTACATAGCATTCCATCGTGTGGTAAAAACATTGAAACTTTTAGTTTGTTACCACGCGCAACACTTTTTTAAAGGCTTCGCCAGCGTTGGCAATTCTATCTGGTATGGCTAAAATTATGTCCAGCTTACCGCCCTTTGGTACATTTCCAAGTAAGTGTTTATCTATTTCGAATACGTCTTTTGACGAGTAGCTATGTAAAAGTTCTAAAAGTTTCTTTTCCGTTATGTCCTTGTAATCGTTCTCCACTAAGCCATTTTTCTTTGAAAACTTCCGATGCTCTGTATTCAATATTTCCACCCCTGTACTAGTGTGTTTTCCGATGAATGGCGCCCATTTAGGCAAATTGGGAATGATTTAAAAACTTGGTATATCCTTCGGATAAAATCCAGGAATAAGCATATCAATCTCCACATTTTCCCAAAAACTTTGACAGTTGACAGTGACGGCCTTGTTTTCTTCGTAGTGATCGAGCACAGATAAAGACGTGGCTGGACATTTAAAATTTACTTTTTTGTTAAGATCTATGATTACTAATTTTGGGATGATACCCACAAATACCACGGTGGAACAAATACAGGTGGACACAATTTAGGCTATTGAGATCCAAAAAAGCATTCGCAATTTTCTGAGAATTTAGATCAGTTTCGATTCGCGAAGAAAGGGCGTTAACAAAACTTCCAATGGGCAAATGCTGCATGAACAAGTCTTTGTGATAAAATAGCAAATTTCGAGTCACAGAAAATGGTATTAAAATCATGTAATCCATCTGTAAATTCTTGGTAGCGGTAACATACTATGCATTTTGGACATTCTTTGTAATAAGTCGATATACCACCAAGAAGTTCAGTCATTTCAAATATTATTGCATGTTTAGTGATTAAAATCGTGTTTTGTAAATCCGAATCACAATAAAAGCATTTTGTTTCGACTGGAATATACTTCGTAGGATATATCTTTCTGGATGTAGGATGTCTGGCCAAATATGATATATGTACGTTTTTTGTTAATACTGGCACAGTTTTTCTAGAATTTGTGTATCGAAAGGTTGATAGTACTTTAAAAAAATGTGATGGTGCTGAACACCAACGGTTTCATAATTGTCTTCGATTAGGTTCTCTAAAACCTTCAATTAAGTGATTTTGAACTAAATAGCACATACAAACACACTTGTGTACGCACGAGTGATTTTACTGCATCATCTACAATCCAGGTTACCTTCGTGAATATTGGCTGTGAGGATAATTCTACCAAATTTGGAATAATAGTGATATTCACCATTGTATAACGAAAACCTGACAAATGTTGTTGATTCGTGTATTGCATAAAACAATTTTGATTTGTTATTTAATGACATCTTTTTGAGATTTAGACATTGTTCCGATTTCGTGTGCTTGATAATTTTGTGTTTGCCGTCGATCGAGAGTTAGGATAAATAAGTGTCATTTAGTGTCTTTGCGTCCAAATACTTTGTATCAACACCCACAAGTCCTAAATGTCTGAATTCTGTACCAGTCATACCACTGCGCCATGCAATTTACACTATGTATTATGATGTAATAGATTGGCGCCTATTGGGCTTTTATCAAGAACTACGCGCCCCGGCAGTTTTATACCTTCTTCCACCAAGCGTGAATTTGATTATTTTGTGCTCGAGTTGTTTTTTAGTGAACACGGTTCTTGCTCGTTTCGACTTTTATTCATAGTACACATCATTTCAGATTGAAAAAGAGACATACCACATAATAAGAAATTGATGTTTGGGATCCATATGCAATAATTGATTCAGATGCATTGTGCACTGACTGTTTAATTAGAAAACTCATAGGCAGGGATCTCGAATTCGAATTCAATATTAATATAGCTACCTTCGAATAGAAGTAGAGAATCTGAGCCACCTACAGAGGAACATGCTGTAAATAGTTCACAGGGAAGAGGCTAGAGTTCGGGAGAATATGTCACACGTATTGACGAATGTGACTCAAACCTGCAAGAAAGGTGACGGTCTGATGAAGCGCCACTGAAATGTCGAAAGCGCAATCTTACCATATACACATGGAATGTAAGATTCATTTAAATAATATATATATATATATATATTTAACTTTTGAGAAATAAATATGTACAAACAATGGATAAGTAACGATGAAACTTTAATTTCATTTCACACGAGGAATCGTAGGATTCTCCTATTGCTTGTCGTTTGAGAGTATCTAGTTTGTTGGTTTCTTCTTTAGGCTGAAGCTTGTTGTCATTCCTGTACTTGATTCTTCTGTTTTGGAACCAAACTTTTACTTGCGCATCTGTGAGTCTGATCTTTTTAGCAAGTGCCCGTCTTACAATACCAACCATGTGTTGCTGGTTGTTGAACTCATTTTCCAAATGCTCGAGTTGTTTTTGAGTAAACACGTCCTTGCTCGTTTCGACTTTCATTTTTTCAGGTATCGGAGTGGATGGGTAAGAACACACATTTGGCTCAATATCTTGGCCAACTAAACGTTTTGTCTCAATAGGTACATATATGATACATCCAATTTTGCTGCACAACCTTGTTTAATCCTGGGTGGAAATAGTATGCATCATTGGTATGCATATACATATGACTGTAGCTTTCTAGAGGTGATATATATCTGTTGTTTTTCATTTTGGGTTGAGGTGTGTGTGATAGAGCAGGCTGACAATGGTTAGGCTCTTGCCGTGGTTCATTAGAATCACTGACATAAATTCCGCTGTCATTTTCATCCGTTCTGGTAACATTCAATTCGTTGATATCTTCAAATGATGAAAAACCCGAATCAAGTGAATCATTTTCTTTTATTGTTGGCTGAGTATTTTGAAATTTTCTTTTTTTGCTTGGGCTTTCGGTCGAATCTCCCAGTATTGCGTCAATCGTGAACAGAGTAGGTTTCTTCTTCTTTCGGTGGTTGTTGGACTTTGAGTTGTATATTGATGAGTCACAGATTTTGGTCTTCTCATTTAAAATGGTAACTTTCATTGAATCCAAAACATCATCCGTAGAAAATTTTCTTTTTCTTGTGATTTCTTCTAAATCTGAAACGCCTGCGTAATTAAAGCGAACAAATAGCGTCTATTGAGCATTTGTGAGAGCTTGGTAAGGATGGCGATACGAAATCATTTTGTAGTTCTTGATATTGTTTTGTTTTCCCAATAAAATGACTTTGTGGAATAACCCATATTTTTATAATGCATTCTGATACTGATTAAAATCACCGTTATTGTACGATTGATTAAACTTATCAGTAAATAATCATATATAACTGAATTAGACTCTTTAGACCTTCGTATAATGATCAAGAGAATCTGACACTTATCTACTATAGCCTAACAACTGATAATGTGTAATAAGGTTTGATTATCCTAACATATTAACTGTTCCTTATCTAATATAAATAAAAGAGCTCCAGTCTTTGAGGATAATATAGTTAATAAGCACACAAAAACATTTGATCATAAGTTACTAAGAAAGATTAAATGATCTTTTGAGAAGAATCGTGTGACATCAAAGACATATTTATTGTGTGAGTCATCTGGAATGATATTTAGCAAAAATTACCCATGGGAAAGGGCAGTCTACGAGTATGTCCCAAACATACTTTCTTTTCCATAATATAATCACGTTTATTACAAGACTATATTTGTACTTTCAACCAGGCCAAGAAAAGGCTAGACAGTGGTTCTTGAACTTTTTGAGCCGCACCCCCTTCAAAAAAATTTACAGACTCTGCGCCCCCCTTCCCCTTTTTTGCTTTAAAAGAATGCTTTTGTAATGGACAGGTTGCTTTATAATAAGATTGGCGCTGTGAGAGTGCTGGTATCATAGCGTCATTGCTCAGATTATTTAGACATAAAACGCATCGGAGTACAATTTGCTTGTACTGTCGTATGTATAAAGTCAGACTCAAATACTGGTCATAATACATTCTCCTTTTTCCGCTCAGTTTGCAATACCTGGTAAAGTCAACTGATGTTTTAAGTAAAACTAAACACGCAATAAACGTATTCTCTTTGCGCGTTAATTAATGTAAAATTTCAATCGTTTACTTTACTATTGAGCAATGCAAAAATTATTACAGACTTCTTGGCTTGCCTAACGTCTCTAAAATTCACTACCAATAACTTTGGACAACCACCAGGTCAAAAATAAAGTCTACACAATGGAGAAGTGCAAATGAATTTGTATACATCTGCAGCATAAAAAAGCCGTTCAATTGTTATTAGTAATTATGCATGTGGACTTTTCCCTCGGCCCTTGAACGATGAAAAATAAAGTTGCTGCTGATGTTTGCGATTTCTTTTGCCAGCGTGGTATGATATTTAAGCCGTAAAATCTTTATTTCGGTGTTTATCTGCCTAAATCAGAAATTTCCTTCAACAAATATTTTGTGCCGCAAAGACGATGATAATTACTTTTTCTGTTTTCGCATGGAACCATGACACCTGTGAGGAAAACGAGTTGGTTTTATTATTTAATCATTCAAGGTAGAATAAATAAGTGAATCCGCACCCAAAAATTTCTTGATGGAAAAAGCAGCAATATAAAATACCAGAACTATAACGGAAAATACCATGAGTTTTGTTTTGGAATGAACGGCGACAGATTAAAAGCACTTTCTTAGACATTGCAAATCCAATAAAGTCCTTGAGCCTGCGGCACACCTGTAGTTTTCTAAAACTACCGACTTGAAACGAATTTTACTTTGTGGGATTTTCTCGAGGGGTGATCTTAAAATTAATCGAAATTCGCATTGCTATGGAGCGGAGTAAGAAATTCAGGGACAGCTCATATTAGTCTAATTTGCAAGAATACGAACAAAACAAAATGGAATGGGGCATATACACATTTTTATGTCCGCGGATAGCCATGGTATCTGTAATAGTAGTACTTTTATTTTATCGACGCAATCGCAGATTTAGTTTATCATAATTGAATAAATAAAGCAATCTTTTTGAATATGTATATCGATCATGGATTGCATATTTTATTCAACAGAAAAACCATTGAATATCCGTTGAAAAAGTCGGCTCTTGTTCAAAGAGTGGCGTAATCTTGACGACTGACTCTTTCCGGCGATGAATATGTATTTTTGATTTTGTAATATACCCTATATTTATCCCTAATATAAATATACTAAGTTCATGAAAGCGCAAACTAGAAAAGGGTTCCATGAAGTTCCGCGGAATACAAACACAAAATACAATTATAATAACGTAAGGATGATTTATTGAATTATTATATATTGAAAACTTTTGACAAAAAATCTGTACATAAATGGAATAAGGAACGGCGGAACTTTAATTTTATGACGTATATATAAGTAATCTTATGATTATCTTATTGCTTCACGTTTGAGAACATCTAGTTTGTTGGTTTCTTTTTTAAGTTGACGCTTGTTGTCATTTCTGTACTTGATTCTTCTGTTTTGGAACCAGATTTTTACTTGCGCGTCTGTGAGTCTGAGCTTATTGGCAAGCGCCCGTCTTTCAATACCAACTATGTATTGCTGGTTGTTGAACTTATTTTCCAAATGCTCCAGTTGTTTTTGAGTAAACACGGTCCTTGCTCGTTTTGACTTTAATTTCTGAGGTTTAGGAGTTGATGAATAAAAACACACATTTGGCTTAATATCTTTGCCAACTGAACGTTTTGTCTCAATAGGTACATACGAAATTGACGGTAGTTTATGATACATCCAATTTTGCTGCACAACTTTGCTTAATCCTGGATGGAAATAGTATGAATCATTGGTATACTTATACATATGATTGTAGCATTTTGTAGGTGGTATATATCCGTTGCTTCTTATTTTGGGTCGAGGTGATTGAGATAGAGAAGACTGACTGTGGCTCGATTCTGGTCGTGATTTATTGGGATCACTGCCATAAATTTCACTGCCATTTCCATCCGTTCTAGTAATATTCAATTTGTCGACATCTTCAAATGACGAAAATCCCGAATCAAGTGAATCGTCTTCTCTTATTGTTGGCTGAGTATTTTGAAGTTTTCTTTTTTTGCTTGGGCTTTCGGTCGAATGTCCCAGTATTGCGTCAATTGTGAATAGGGTATGCTTCTTCTTGTTTCGGTGGTTGTTGAACTTTGCGACTGGTTTGCAGTAAATTGATGAGTGGCAGATTTTGCTCTTCTGATTTACAACGGTAACTTTCATTGAATCTGAAACATCATCCGAAGAAAATTTTCTTTTTCTTGTTGTAATTTCTTCTAAATCTGAAACGCCTGCGTAATTGAAGCGAACAAATGGCGTCCATTGAGCATTTGAGAGAGCTTGGTAAGGATGGCGATAAGAAATCATTTCGTATAGTGTTTGATATTGTCTTGTTTTTCCAATGAATGACTTTCTATAGAATGATCGATGTTTATATATTACATTTTGATACTGATTAAAATGACAATTATCATACGATTGATTAAACTTATCTGGAGCCGATCATTACTGAATTAGCCTCAAACCTATAAGTATCTGATAGCACTTATCTAATATAACAAATATAACAACTGATAAGGTTTATTAACGTTTGATCATCCTAACATATTAATTGTTCCTTATCTAATGTAAATCACCACAGCTCTAGCCTCTGAAGATATTAGGTTAATTAGGGGACAAAAATATTTGATTAAAAGATCAAAAGATTTTTAAGAAGAGTCGTATGACAACCAGCCGAATTCTAACCCTGCATCATCTGGAATCATATGTATTAAAAATTTACCCCGGGCTGTTACATTTTTTTCGTGCAATCTGTCATATAAACACATATGAAGAGATTTACCACTGACAGGGTGCGTGCCTTCAGTATATATATTGTTTATTTTTGTGCACTTGTTTCAAAACTCCAAGACATTGAAATGGAAAGACATTTATCTTCGGCAGCTTTTATGTTTTCTTGAGTTGGCTTACATAGCATTCCATCGTGTGGTAAAAACATTGAAACTTTTAGTTTGTTACCACGCGCAACACTTTTTTAAAGGCTTCGCCAGCGTTGGCAATTCTATCTGGTATGGCTAAAATTATGTCCAGCTTACCGCCCTTTGGTACATTTCCAAGTAAGTGTTTATCTATTTCGAATACGTCTTTTGACGAGTAGCTATGTAAAAGTTCTAAAAGTTTCTTTTCCGTTATGTCCTTGTAATCGTTCTCCACTAAGCCATTTTTCTTTGAAAACTTCCGATGCTCTGTATTCAATATTTCCACCCCTGTACTAGTGTGTTTTCCGATGAATGGCGCCCATTTAGGCAAATTGGGAATGATTTAAAAACTTGGTATATCCTTCGGATAAAATCCAGGAATAAGCATATCAATCTCCACATTTTCCCAAAAACTTTGACAGTTGACAGTGACGGCCTTGTTTTCTTCGTAGTGATCGAGCACAGATAAAGACGTGGCTGGACATTTAAAATTTACTTTTTTGTTAAGATCTATGATTACTAATTTTGGGATGATACCCACAAATACCACGGTGGAACAAATACAGGTGGACACAATTTAGGCTATTGAGATCCAAAAAAGCATTCGCAATTTTCTGAGAATTTAGATCAGTTTCGATTCGCGAAGAAAGGGCGTTAACAAAACTTCCAATGGGCAAATGCTGCATGAACAAGTCTTTGTGATAAAATAGCAAATTTCGAGTCACAGAAAATGGTATTAAAATCATGTAATCCATCTGTAAATTCTTGGTAGCGGTAACATACTATGCATTTTGGACATTCTTTGTAATAAGTCGATATACCACCAAGAAGTTCAGTCATTTCAAATATTATTGCATGTTTAGTGATTAAAATCGTGTTTTGTAAATCCGAATCACAATAAAAGCATTTTGTTTCGACTGGAATATACTTCGTAGGATATATCTTTCTGGATGTAGGATGTCTGGCCAAATATGATATATGTACGTTTTTTGTTAATACTGGCACAGTTTTTCTAGAATTTGTGTATCGAAAGGTTGATAGTACTTTAAAAAAATGTGATGGTGCTGAACACCAACGGTTTCATAATTGTCTTCGATTAGGTTCTCTAAAACCTTCAATTAAGTGATTTTGAACTAAATAGCACATACAAACACACTTGTGTACGCACGAGTGATTTTACTGCATCATCTACAATCCAGGTTACCTTCGTGAATATTGGCTGTGAGGATAATTCTACCAAATTTGGAATAATAGTGATATTCACCATTGTATAACGAAAACCTGACAAATGTTGTTGATTCGTGTATTGCATAAAACAATTTTGATTTGTTATTTAATGACATCTTTTTGAGATCTAGACATTGTTCCGATTTCGTGTGCTTGATAATTTTGTGTTTGCCGTCGATCGAGAGTTAGGATAAATAAGTGTCATTTAGTGTCTTTGCGTCCAGATACTTTGTATCAACACCCACAAGTCCTAAATGTCTGCATTCTGTACCAGTCATACCACTGCGCCATGCAATTTACACTATGTATTATGATGTAATAGATTGGCGCCTATTGGGCTTTTATCAAGAACTACGCGCCCCGGCAGTTTTATACCTTCTTCCACCAAGCGTGAATTTGATTATTTTGTGCTCGAGTTGTTTTTTAGTGAACACGGTTCTTGCTCGTTTCGACTTTTATTCATAGTACACATCATTTCAGATTGAAAAAGAGACATACCACATAATAAGAAATTGATGTTTGGGATCCATATGCAATAATTGATTCAGATGCATTGTGCACTGACTGTTTAATTAGAAAACTCATAGGCAGGGATCTCGAATTCGAATTCAATATTAATATAGCTACCTTCGAATAGAAGTAGAGAATCTGAGCCACCTACAGAGGAACATGCTGTAAATAGTTCACAGGGAAGAGGCTAGAGTTCGGGAGAATATGTCACACGTATTGACGAATGTGACTCAAACCTGCAAGAAAGGTGACGGTCTGATGAAGCGCCACTGAAATGTCGAAAGCGCAATCTTACCATATACACATGGAATGTAAGATTCATTTAAATAATATATATATATATATATATTTAACTTTTGAGAAATAAATATGTACAAACAATGGATAAGTAACGATGAAACTTTAATTTCATTTCACACGAGGAATCGTAGGATTCTCCTATTGCTTGTCGTTTGAGAGTATCTAGTTTGTTGGTTTCTTCTTTAGGCTGAAGCTTGTTGTCATTCCTGTACTTGATTCTTCTGTTTTGGAACCAAACTTTTACTTGCGCATCTGTGAGTCTGATCTTTTTAGCAAGTGCCCGTCTTACAATACCAACCATGTGTTGCTGGTTGTTGAACTCATTTTCCAAATGCTCGAGTTGTTTTTGAGTAAACACGTCCTTGCTCGTTTCGACTTTCATTTTTTCAGGTATCGGAGTGGATGGGTAAGAACACACATTTGGCTCAATATCTTGGCCAACTAAACGTTTTGTCTCAATAGGTACATATATGATACATCCAATTTTGCTGCACAACCTTGTTTAATCCTGGGTGGAAATAGTATGCATCATTGGTATGCATATACATATGACTGTAGCTTTCTAGAGGTGATATATATCTGTTGTTTTTCATTTTGGGTTGAGGTGTGTGTGATAGAGCAGGCTGACAATGGTTAGGCTCTTGCCGTGGTTCATTAGAATCACTGACATAAATTCCGCTGTCATTTTCATCCGTTCTGGTAACATTCAATTCGTTGATATCTTCAAATGATGAAAAACCCGAATCAAGTGAATCATTTTCTTTTATTGTTGGCTGAGTATTTTGAAATTTTCTTTTTTTGCTTGGGCTTTCGGTCGAATCTCCCAGTATTGCGTCAATCGTGAACAGAGTAGGTTTCTTCTTCTTTCGGTGGTTGTTGGACTTTGAGTTGTATATTGATGAGTCACAGATTTTGGTCTTCTCATTTAAAATGGTAACTTTCATTGAATCCAAAACATCATCCGTAGAAAATTTTCTTTTTCTTGTGATTTCTTCTAAATCTGAAACGCCTGCGTAATTAAAGCGAACAAATAGCGTCTATTGAGCATTTGTGAGAGCTTGGTAAGGATGGCGATACGAAATCATTTTGTAGTTCTTGATATTGTTTTGTTTCCCAATAAAATGACTTTGTGGAATAACCCATATTTTTATAATGCATTCTGATACTGATTAAAATCACCGTTATTGTACGATTGATTAAACTTATCAGTAAATAATCATATATAACTGAATTAGACTCTTTAGACCTTCGTATAATGATGAAGAGAATCTGACACTTATCTACTATAGCCTAACAACTGATAATGTGTAATAAGGTTTGATTATCCTAACATATTAACTGTTCCTTATCTAATATAAATAAAAGAGCTCCAGTCTTTGAGGATAATATAGTTAATAAGCACACAAAAACATTTGATCATAAGTTACTAAGAAAGATTAAATGATCTTTTGAGAAGAATCGTGTGACATCAAAGACATATTTATTGTGTGAGTCATCTGGAATGATATTTAGCAAAAATTACCCATGGGAAAGGGCAGTCTACGAGTATGTCCCAAACATACTTTCTTTTCCATAATATAATCACGTTTATTACAAGACTATATTTGTACTTTCAACCAGGCCAAGAAAAGGCTAGACAGTGGTTCTTGAACTTTTTGAGCCGCACCCCCTTCAAAAAAATTTACAGACTCTGCGCCCCCCTTCCCCTTTTTTGCTTTAAAAGAATGCTTTTGTAATGGACAGGTTGCTTTATAATAAGATTGGCGCTGTGAGAGTGCTGGTATCATAGCGTCATTGCTCAGATTATTTAGACATAAAACGCATCGGAGTACAATTTGCTTGTACTGTCGTATGTATAAAGTCAGACTCAAATACTGGTCATAATACATTCTCCTTTTTCCGCTCAGTTTGCAATACCTGGTAAAGTCAACTGATGTTTTAAGTAAAACTAAACACGCAATAAACGTATTCTCTTTGCGCGTTAATTAATGTAAAATTTCAATCGTTTACTTTACTATTGAGCAATGCAAAAATTATTACAGACTTCTTGGCTTGCCTAACGTCTCTAAAATTCACTACCAATAACTTTGGACAACCACCAGGTCAAAAATAAAGTCTACACAATGGAGAAGTGCAAATGAATTTGTATACATCTGCAGCATAAAAAAGCCGTTCAATTGTTATTAGTAATTATGCATGTGGACTTTTCCCTCGGCCCTTGAACGATGAAAAATAAAGTTGCTGCTGATGTTTGCGATTTCTTTTGCCAGCGTGGTATGATATTTAAGCCGTAAAATCTTTATTTCGGTGTTTATCTGCCTAAATCAGAAATTTCCTTCAACAAATATTTTGTGCCGCAAAGACGATGATAATTACTTTTTCTGTTTTCGCATGGAACCATGACACCTGTGAGGAAAACGAGTTGGTTTTATTATTTAATCATTCAAGGTAGAATAAATAAGTGAATCCGCACCCAAAAATTTCTTGATGGAAAAAGCAGCAATATAAAATACCAGAACTATAACGGAAAATACCATGAGTTTTGTTTTGGAATGAACGGCGACAGATTAAAAGCACTTTCTTAGACATTGCAAATCCAATAAAGTCCTTGAGCCTGCGGCACACCTGTAGTTTTCTAAAACTACCGACTTGAAACGAATTTTACTTTGTGGGATTTTCTCGAGGGGTGATCTTAAAATTAATCGAAATTCGCATTGCTATGGAGCGGAGTAAGAAATTCAGGGACAGCTCATATTAGTCTAATTTGCAAGAATACGAACAAAACAAAATGGAATGGGGCATATACACATTTTTATGTCCGCGGATAGCCATGGTATCTGTAATAGTAGTACTTTTATTTTATCGACGCAATCGCAGATTTAGTTTATCATAATTGAATAAATAAAGCAATCTTTTTGAATATGTATATCGATCATGGATTGCATATTTTATTCAACAGAAAAACCATTGAATATCCGTTGAAAAAGTCGGCTCTTGTTCAAAGAGTGGCGTAATCTTGACGACTGACTCTTTCCGGCGATGAATATGTATTTTTGATTTTGTAATATACCCTATATTTATCCCTAATATAAATATACTAAGTTCATGAAAGCGCAAACTAGAAAAGGGTTCCATGAAGTTCCGCGGAATACAAACACAAAATACAATTATAATAACGTAAGGATGATTTATTGAATTATTATATATTGAAAACTTTTGACAAAAAATCTGTACATAAATGGAATAAGGAACGGCGGAACTTTAATTTTATGACGTATATATAAGTAATCTTATGATTATCTTATTGCTTCACGTTTGAGAACATCTAGTTTGTTGGTTTCTTTTTTAAGTTGACGCTTGTTGTCATTTCTGTACTTGATTCTTCTGTTTTGGAACCAGATTTTTACTTGCGCGTCTGTGAGTCTGAGCTTATTGGCAAGCGCCCGTCTTTCAATACCAACTATGTATTGCTGGTTGTTGAACTTATTTTCCAAATGCTCCAGTTGTTTTTGAGTAAACACGGTCCTTGCTCGTTTTGACTTTAATTTCTGAGGTTTAGGAGTTGATGAATAAAAACACACATTTGGCTTAATATCTTTGCCAACTGAACGTTTTGTCTCAATAGGTACATACGAAATTGACGGTAGTTTATGATACATCCAATTTTGCTGCACAACTTTGCTTAATCCTGGATGGAAATAGTATGAATCATTGGTATACTTATACATATGATTGTAGCATTTTGTAGGTGGTATATATCCGTTGCTTCTTATTTTGGGTCGAGGTGATTGAGATAGAGAAGACTGACTGTGGCTCGATTCTGGTCGTGATTTATTGGGATCACTGCCATAAATTTCACTGCCATTTCCATCCGTTCTAGTAATATTCAATTTGTCGACATCTTCAAATGACGAAAATCCCGAATCAAGTGAATCGTCTTCTCTTATTGTTGGCTGAGTATTTTGAAGTTTTCTTTTTTTGCTTGGGCTTTCGGTCGAATGTCCCAGTATTGCGTCAATTGTGAATAGGGTATGCTTCTTCTTGTTTCGGTGGTTGTTGAACTTTGCGACTGGTTTGCAGTAAATTGATGAGTGGCAGATTTTGCTCTTCTGATTTACAACGGTAACTTTCATTGAATCTGAAACATCATCCGAAAAAAATTTTCTTTTTCTTGTTGTAATTTCTTCTAAATCTGAAACGCCTGCGTAATTGAAGCGAACAAATGGCGTCCATTGAGCATTTGAGAGAGCTTGGTAAGGATGGCGATAAGAAATCATTTCGTATAGTTCTTGATATTGTCTTGTTTTTCCAATGAATGACTTTCTATAGAATGATCGATGTTTATATATTACATTTTGATACTGATTAAAATGACAATTATCATACGATTGATTAAACTTATCTGGAGCCGATCATTACTGAATTAGCCTCAAACCTATAAGTATCTGATAGCACTTATCTAATATAACAAATATAACAACTGATAAGGTTTATTAACGTTTGATCATCCTAACATATTAATTGTTCCTTATCTAATGTAAATCACCACAGCTCTAGCCTCTGAAGATATTAGGTTAATTAGGGGACAAAAATATTTGATTAAAAGATCAAAAGATTTTTAAGAAGAGTCGTATGACAACCAGCCGAATTCTAACCCTGCATCATCTGGAATCATATGTATTAAAAATTTACCCCGGGCTGTTACATTTTTTTCGTGCAATCTGTCATATAAACACATATGAAGAGATTTACCACTGACAGGGTGCGTGCCTTCAGTATATATATTGTTTATTTTTGTGCACTTGTTTCAAAACTCCAAGACATTGAAATGGAAAGACATTTATCTTCGGCAGCTTTTATGTTTTCTTGAGTTGGCTTACATAGCATTCCATCGTGTGGTAAAAACATTGAAACTTTTAGTTTGTTACCACGCGCAACACTTTTTTAAAGGCTTCGCCAGCGTTGGCAATTCTATCTGGTATGGCTAAAATTATGTCCAGCTTACCGCCCTTTGTACATTTCCAAGTAAGTGTTTATCTATTTCGAATACGTCTTTTGACGAGTAGCTATGTAAAAGTTCTAAAAGTTTCTTTTCCGTTATGTCCTTGTAATCGTTCTCCACTAAGCCATTTTTCTTTGAAAACTTCCGATGCTCTGTATTCAATATTCCACCCCTGTACTAGTGTGTTTTCCGATGAATGGCGCCCATTTAGGCAAATTGGGAATGATTTAAAAACTTGGTATATCCTTCGGATAAAATCCAGGAATAAGCATATCAATCTCCACATTTTCCCAAAAACTTTGACAGTTGACAGTGACGGCCTTGTTTTCTTCGTAGTGATCGAGCACAGATAAAGACGTGGCTGGACATTTAAAATTTACTTTTTTGTTAAGATCTATGATTACTAATTTTGGGATGATACCCACAAATACCACGGTGGAACAAATACAGGTGGACACAATTTAGGCTATTGAGATCCAAAAAAGCATTCGCAATTTTCTGAGAATTTAGATCAGTTTCGATTCGCGAAGAAAGGGCGTTAACAAAACTTCCAATGGGCAAATGCTGCATGAACAAGTCTTTGTGATAAAATAGCAAATTTCGAGTCACAGAAAATGGTATTAAAATCATGTAATCCATCTGTAAATTCTTGGTAGCGGTAACATACTATGCATTTTGGACATTCTTTGTAATAAGTCGATATACCACCAAGAAGTTCAGTCATTTCAAATATTATTGCATGTTTAGTGATTAAAATCGTGTTTTGTAAATCCGAATCACAAGAAAAGCATTTTGTTTCGACTGGAATATACTTCGTAGGATATATCTTTCTGGATGTAGGATGTCTGGCCAAATATGATATATGTACGTTTTTTGTTAATACTGGCACAGTTTTTCTAGAATTTGTGTATCGAAAGGTTGATAGTACTTTAAAAAAATGTGATGGTGCTGAACACCAACGGTTTCATAATTGTCTTCGATTAGGTTCTCTAAAACCTTCAATTAAGTGATTTTGAACTAAATAGCACATACAAACACACTTGTGTACGCACGAGTGATTTTACTGCATCATCTACAATCCAGGTTACCTTCGTGAATATTGGCTGTGAGGATAATTCTACCAAATTTGGAATAATAGTGATATTCACCATTGTATAACGAAAACCTGACAAATGTTGTTGATTCGTGTATTGCATAAAACAATTTTGATTTGTTATTTAATGACATCTTTTTGAGATCTAGACATTGTTCCGATTTCGTGTGCTTGATAATTTTGTGTTTGCCGTCGATCGAGAGTTAGGATAAATAAGTGTCATTTAGTGTCTTTGCGTCCAGATACTTTGTATCAACACCCACAAGTCCTAAATGTCTGCATTCTGTACCAGTCATACCACTGCGCCATGCAATTTACACTATGTATTATGATGTAATAGATTGGCGCCTATTGGGCTTTTATCAAGAACTACGCGCCCCGGCAGTTTTATACCTTCTTCCACCAAGCGTGAATTTGATTATTTTGTGCTCGAGTTGTTTTTTAGTGAACACGGTTCTTGCTCGTTTCGACTTTTATTCATAGTACACATCATTTCAGATTGAAAAAGAGACATACCACATAATAAGAAATTGATGTTTGGGATCCATATGCAATAATTGATTCAGATGCATTGTGCACTGACTGTTTAATTAGAAAACTCATAGGCAGGGATCTCGAATTCGAATTCAATATTAATATAGCTACCTTCGAATAGAAGTAGAGAATCTGAGCCACCTACAGAGGAACATGCTGTAAATAGTTCACAGGGAAGAGGCTAGAGTTCGGGAGAATATGTCACACGTATTGACGAATGTGACTCAAACCTGCAAGAAAGGTGACGGTCTGATGAAGCGCCACTGAAATGTCGAAAGCGCAATCTTACCATATACACATGGAATGTAAGATTCATTTAAATAATATATATATATATATATATTTAACTTTTGAGAAATAAATATGTACAAACAATGGATAAGTAACGATGAAACTTTAATTTCATTTCACACGAGGAATCGTAGGATTCTCCTATTGCTTGTCGTTTGAGAGTATCTAGTTTGTTGGTTTCTTCTTTAGGCTGAAGCTTGTTGTCATTCCTGTACTTGATTCTTCTGTTTTGGAACCAAACTTTTACTTGCGCATCTGTGAGTCTGATCTTTTTAGCAAGTGCCCGTCTTACAATACCAACCATGTGTTGCTGGTTGTTGAACTCATTTTCCAAATGCTCGAGTTGTTTTTGAGTAAACACGTCCTTGCTCGTTTCGACTTTCATTTTTTCAGGTATCGGAGTGGATGGGTAAGAACACACATTTGGCTCAATATCTTGGCCAACTAAACGTTTTGTCTCAATAGGTACATATATGATACATCCAATTTTGCTGCACAACCTTGTTTAATCCTGGGTGGAAATAGTATGCATCATTGGTATGCATATACATATGACTGTAGCTTTCTAGAGGTGATATATATCTGTTGTTTTTCATTTTGGGTTGAGGTGTGTGTGATAGAGCAGGCTGACAATGGTTAGGCTCTTGCCGTGGTTCATTAGAATCACTGACATAAATTCCGCTGTCATTTTCATCCGTTCTGGTAACATTCAATTCGTTGATATCTTCAAATGATGAAAACCCGAATCAAGTGAATCATTTTCTTTTATTGTTGGCTGAGTATTTTGAAATTTTCTTTTTTGCTTGGGCTTTCGGTCGAATCTCCCAGTATTGCGTCAATCGTGAACAGAGTAGGTTTCTTCTTCTTTCGGTGGTTGTTGGACTTTGAGTTGTATATTGATGAGTCACAGATTTTGGTCTTCTCATTTAAAATGGTAACTTTCATTGAATCCAAAACATCATCCGTAGAAAATTTTCTTTTTCTTGTGATTTCTTCTAAATCTGAAACGCCTGCGTAATTAAAGCGAACAAATAGCGTCTATTGAGCATTTGTGAGAGCTTGGTAAGGATGGCGATACGAAATCATTTTGTAGTTCTTGATATTGTTTTCCCAATAAAATGACTTTGTGGAATAACCCATATTTTTATAATGCATTCTGATACTGATTAAAATCACCGTTATTGTACGATTGATTAAACTTATCAGTAAATAATCATATATAACTGAATTAGACTCTTTAGACCTTCGTATAATGATGAAGAGAATCTGACACTTATCTACTATAGCCTAACAACTGATAATGTGTAATAAGGTTTGATTATCCTAACATATTAACTGTTCCTTATCTAATATAAATAAAAGAGCTCCAGTCTTTGAGGATAATATAGTTAATAAGCACACAAAAACATTTGATCATAAGTTACTAAGAAAGATTAAATGATCTTTTGAGAAGAATCGTGTGACATCAAAGACATATTTATTGTGTGCGTCATCTGGAATGATATTTAGCGAAAATTACCCATGGGAAAGGGCAGACTACGAGTATGTCCCAAACATACTTTCTTTTCCATAATATAATCACGTTTATTACAAGACTATATTTGTACTTTCAACCAGGCCAAGAAAAGGCTAGACAGTGGTTCTTGAACTTTTTGAGCCGCACCCCCTTCAAAAAAATTTACAGACTCTGCACCCCCCTTCCCCTTTTTTGCTTTAAAAAAATGCTTTTGTAATGGACAGGTTGCTTTATAATAAGATTGGCGCTGTGAGAGTGCTGGTATCATAGCGTCATTGCTCAGATTATTTAGACATAAAACGCATCGGAGTACAATTTGCTTGTACTGTCGTATGTATAAAGTCAGACTCAAATACTGGTCATAATACATTCTCCTTTTTCCGCTCAGTTTGCAATACCTGGTAAAGTCAACTGATGTTTTAAGTAAAACTAAACACGCAATAAACGTATTCTCTTTGCGCGTTAATTAATGTAAAATTTCAATCGTTTACTTTACTATTGAGCAATGCAAAAATTATTACAGACTTCTTGGCTTGCCTAACGTCTCTAAAATTCACTACCAATAACTTTGGACAACCACCAGGTCAAAAATAAAGTCCACACAATGGAGAAGTGCAAATGAATTTGTATACATCTGCAGCATAAAAAAGCCGTTCAATTGTTATTAGTAATTATGCATGTGGACTTTTCCCTCGGCTCTTGAACGATGAAAAATAAAGTTGCTGCTGATGTTTGCGATTTCTTTTGCCAGCGTGGTATGATATTTAAGCCGTAAAATCTTTATTTCGGTGTTTATCTGCCTAAATCAGAAATTTCCTTCAACAAATATTTTGTGCCGCAAAGACGATGATAATTACTTTTTCTGTTTTCGCATGGAACCATGACACCTGTGAGGAAAACGAGTTGGTTTTATTATTTAATCATTCAAGGTAGAATAAATAAGTGATTCCGCACCCAAAAATTTCTTGATGGAAAAAGCAGCAATATAAAATACCAGAACTATAACGGAAAATACCATGAGTTTTGTTTTGGAATGAACGGCGACAGATTAAAAGCACTTTCTTAGACATTGCAAATCCAATAAAGTCCTTGAGCCTGCGGCACACCTGTAGTTTTCTAAAACTACCGACTTGAAACGAATTTTACTTTGTGGGATTTTCTCGAGGGGTGATCTTAAAATTAATCGAAATTCGCATTGCTATGGAGCGGAGTAAGAAATTCAGGGACAGCTCATATTAGTCTAATTTGCAAGAATACGAACAAAACAAAATGGAATGGGGCATATACACATTTTTATGTCCGCGGATAGCCATGGTATCTGTAATAGTAGTACTTTTATTTTATCGACGCAATCGCAGATTTAGTTTATCATAATTGAATAAATAATGCAATCTTTTTGAATATGTATATCGATCATGGATTGCATATTTTATTCAACAGAAAAACCATTGAATATCCGTTGAAAAAGTCGGCTCTTGTTCAAAGAGTGGCGTAATCTTGACGACTGACTCTTTCCGGCGATGAATATGTATTTTTGATTTTGTAATAAACCCTATATTTTTTTTTTTCACAGTACTAAATTAAATATACTTTCTAGGATTTTATATCAGATCTTTCTAGCGACGATAACGAAGCGCGATATATATATATCAAAATCACCTATAATCGGGCAGTTGATCTCACATTATTATGTCCGCGGATTGGCCTGGTATTTTAGATCGGTAATGAGTTTATTTTGCCATACGTCTCCGAGACTGCGACTTACCATGAACACAAATGAAGTATAATAGAGAGACATTTTGAATTCTTGTAGTTGTCATAGATAGAATGAATATTACGGGACAGAAAATTCTATTATCCCGTTTCAGGAGAAGCGTGAAATTTTCGATTTTAACTTGTGATGTGACCTCTCGCCCAGAGGGGCGCGCTCATCAGTTTAAGAACCACTGGGCTAGAATATAATTTCTTAAAATGAAAAAGTTTGGGAAAAGCTTTTAAGATAAAAGGGAGACACGTGGGGGTTCCAGTCCATAACTGAGTGCAAGCGTCTAATTTTCCAGTCGCTTGTTTGTTACCAAATCTACGTTCAACGTCGCATTTAGGCATGACCAAATTAAATAAATTTTATATGAAACCTCAATATATATTCACAAGTTAAAATACCCGTGGTGCAAATTGTTATGAAATCGAATATCCGTTGGTGCAAATGTCCATGGGCACAAATGTCTGTAAGTTAGTCACGTATACTTTGAGCGTGGTGGTTGCTTATTATTCGTGAGGATAAATGTTTTATGTGTTACGTTTATGGTCCGACTGTGGGAATAATTAATAGCTCGTTCCCCCAGGCTTATGTTATTGCATCATTTAATTTTCTTAAGTTAGCAGGAAATATAAATTTGATTGATTGTCTAAAACTTAGTATATATACGTGACTTCATTCAGTGTGGATTTTATTTTTGAGGTTTCCGGCTGCACTTTTCGCCCACTGTTCCTTAAATCAGTAATAAACTAACAGAAGTCTATGTAAAAGTTAGCAGTTGGGTGTGATCTCTGGTGTGCACATCATCAAACATTCAAATTCCTGATACAATTGGGTTTACGGACACTGAATCGGAATTGGTCAGAATGCGCCGCTTAGGTACTTTAATTCAAATTTCTCATTCATACAAACCTCAGCATCCGGAGCGTTTCTAACGCAAACATGAATCTTGCGCCTAGATTCTCTGCTTTCACGTGCAACATTGTCATTAACCATTCTACAGGCCAAACTTAACCCGTTGTTTGACAGTATGAAGCAAATCATGATACAGTACAAGTTTTTAGCATAAGTAGATATCAGTTGTATAACATAGAAACATTATCAGTATCAAATATTAACATGTCAGAGAATTTGTATGTCAAAGGATTGCCACTATTGCTTCACGTGACCCAAGTAATTTACATTAAAAATAAATGAAATGAAAACTATAATTTGTAATGCAATAAAATTTCAGATTAACTGCTACCAAACTCACTTTTTCATGGAAGATATTACTAATGAATCGAAGCGGAAATTAATAGGAATCGCCAGTTTTATTTATACTAAGATATATCAATGAATTCAATTGAAAACCCCAATATTGCGTTGAAATTTTCTGAGAAAAGTGGGGAAATTTTTTCTATAAGCTGTATTTCTATAACAGACAGATGTTTTAACAGGAAACTAAGTCATATCATCCAGTTGTTTGATCACAGTAAAATCAGGAATGAGTTTCAAACTCTATAGAACGTTTTATGAATAGAGCAGGTGTTACCAATATATTATTGGCACGAGTTTTCGTCGAAATATTTCAAATTATTCAATTAGGTAACACGATAAATACATCTGCTGCATATTAAAACATTGATAAAATTTGCACAGAAATAGGAATAAGCTACTAATTAAATCTTTGTATACATTGAAAATGTTTGTTAGCGTCACAAAAATTCTGAAAACGTTTCTTGATTGCATTAGATTTATTATGCCAATCAGAATAACTTATGTACGTTTGTTTTCATTAAATGATTTTAACTTATATTTTGTCTCGATGTTTCGATGAACGGGCTAAATTATTTTTTTATAAATTTTTTTATTAGAATAATATAAATCGAATATCTTATCCCAGCTACAGCTGGATCCAATTCATGGTAAGTAGTAATAAGTATTCATTTATCCGGATGTCATCAGAAAAATGTTTCATGGAATAATAAAAACATCTGTAATCATCATCAACGAAACATCTGCTTACAGACAGGAAAGAGAAATGTATAAAATGCGACGGGTGTGGACAGCCCATACAGTCGATTTCCGTCTACCAAACAAGACAACTTCAAACTGAAGAAAAATGGCGGCAAAGATTGCTGTATTTATCCTGGCCATGATGATATGCAGTTTGGGATTGATCAGGTTAGTTGACATTGATTGCTTCATTGCTTCATCGAATGTCGTCACTTTTTAAACATTCTGATTCATTTTAATTTTGGAATGAAATAAACCATCAAATCCTACCAATGTCTTTCAACCGGATTTTTGTAACTAATAACTAATGCAATATTCATTCATTTTCCGCAGCGCAAAGTCTGTCGAGAATCGTAAGTTGATGAATTTCTAGCTGTGAATAATTATGTCGAATAGGTTCTAAACTTCAACTACAATTTCTTCATTTCCTGCGAAATTTTTTTTAAAAATTCAGTTTAGTTTTCGTTACGAAACTCTTTAAATTGTTGAAGTTTGATTGAACATGTGACTCACTTTGCCCGATACTTTCAATTTTGTAAAAATTTTTGGATTCATATTTCTCATATTTTACTGAAAAAGCATCGATCAAATTACAGTTTTTCGGTGTTCTCAGGCTCAAAAATTTGAAACATCATAACTAAGTAAGATATTTAGTTTTGTCTGATTACAGTCGAGTATTTTATGTAAAGCTTATTTCTTCTTTATGAGTACGTGGTAAAACTGGCAAAATGTTGAAATATCGGCTCTTTACGATATTTTTATAATATTAACAGGTGACCAGTCTAAGGAGGCATTGCGTTCGCCCGACAATAAAGATAAAGAGAGAATATGGCCCGGCTTTCTTGTTTGGGGAATGTTGGGAGACAAGGACAAAGGTAATTATAAATAGGATCTACTTCAGGTGACACCTCGGCCAAAATGTAAAAATATCGGCTTATTACGATATTTTTGTAATATTACTAGGTGACCAGTCTGAGAAGGTATGGCGTTCGCCCGACAATAAAGATAAAGAGAGAATATGGCCCGGCTTTCTTGTTTGGGGAATGTTGGGAGACAAGGACACAGGTAATTATAAATAGGATCTACTTCATGTTAAAATATCGGCTTATTACGATATTTTTGTAATATTACTAGGTGACCAGTCTGAGAAGGCATTGCGTTCGCCCGACAATAAAGATAAAGAGAGAATATGGCCCGGCTTTCTTGTTTGGGGAATGTTGGGAGACAAGGACACAGGTAATTATAAATAGGATCTACTTCAGGTGACACCTCGGCCAAAATGTTAAATTATCGGCTTATTACGATATTTTTGTAATATTACTAGGTGACCAGTCTGAGAAGGCATTGCGTTCGCCCGACAATAAAGATAAAGAGAGAATATGGCCCGGCTTTCTTGTTTGGGGAATGTTGGGAGACAAGGACACAGGTAATTATAAATAGGATCTTAATTTTATTGGTTGAATAATCAGATTGCATTACTTATGTATTCAGCAAATTTATTCTGTCACTTCGATACGCTTTGCAATTTCTGAATAAATTTGAGACAACAGATGAGAATTATTCTGAATTTCAAGCTTTGTAACAATTGTTGTAATTGTACAGGTGGCAAATCTGAAGAAGCATCTCAATCATTTGATGACAACGATCACTAAAGGGTACATATCGGAACGGGTGGATGCGTTGAAATCTTTGATCCTGTAGGTAAATAAAATTATGATTTTCATGATATTGCACCGCATTCAAAAGAATACAAAACGTTACTGGAATCTCAAAGCATTTAGTATTATTATAGACACTAAATCCAGGCCAAATCTAACTAAGTTCATACTGTCGCGAAAATCAATTAAAACATTTCAATATTTACTCAATTCACGTACAAGAATGGATAAAGTATATTTGTTTGCGACTTTCATTTGTTCAATATTTAAACATGCATTAGCTTTCGTATCATTCCGACATTTGATATATATATATATATATATAAATTAACTTATCATGCCATGCTACCTTGATACTTCACAATGTATAAAAAAAAAATTATTATTTTTTTCGTTTCCAGGTTCGCTTTCCTTCCTGACAATACAGATGACGACTCGATAATGACGGATTCAGACAACGAATTTTGATTTGAATATTTTTTCTTGTGAAACCTTATTATTCAGAATAAAAGACATTAATGCATGGACTTTTTAATTAAATTTTGTTCACGTATGAAAAGAAAGAGAGAATAAAACTGATTAAAACACTCGAGAGATTTTTTTAATAATTGAATCAATGGAGTCTCACCTTCCGACAGATATTTATATTTTTGCTTGTCCGATTACCCTAACTAACACCAGACGGCGTCGCCATAGCTACCATTTATCTCTTTTATTTAGTACATAGTTGACGAACCTGCGGCCCGCATGTGACCCGCCAAGAAATTTCGCGCGGCTCGCGAAGCATTCAGGCGATTCAGTATATTCGGTGTATATCGGAAGAACTCCGGGAATTTCTATGAAACTGTTGCAGCAAATGGGCAGGCCACTAGTAAAGAAGCACACTTTTTCCATAATAATGTATAATGTTTTTTCTGTTATGTATTTTTGTCGGGTGATGATTTTGCAGTTGCGTAAAGTATACAATCGACGACTAATCCGAGTCTATTTATAATGTCTTGCTTTATTAATTTAATTGTGTGTTCAATGTAACCTACAACCTCGACAAAATAAGAACATTACTACAATATATCACGGTTTCAAACAACCCGATTACATTTAGTTTTGATTCGTATTTTTGCGATGTTACGAATTTGAATACAAATTTGATGTATTCTTGCAACACCTACTCCACATTATCACAATGATACCACCCAAATATTAATTTTCAAGATATCAACGTTAGAAAAATCCCTAGAAAAAAAATATCACATAATGCGATTTAGTAGTACAATATAAATTGATTGTACAGTGATACTTCGGAATTCGACCAAAACATTCGAGTCAAAAATGTTGCGGTATTCGAATCTAGAACACCCGAGCCGAGCGGATCTCGCGGCCGAGTGAGATGACGCCCCCCGATCGATTCAGCTCAAGACTGCCAACGAAAATCTTGATATGCAGTTGAGAGTTTCCAAGTCGTCAATTTGTCCTCATCCTCTCAGGCGCTTAGTAAAGTATAAAAGTTTCTAAAACCAAGCAAAACATGCATTGAGTTTTTTAAAAAGTTGTGCGGCCCGGCCTACTCAGTGGTGACTGATAAAATGCCCCGCGATGGCCAGATATCTGATATTTTAGTCCCTTCCCCTGTGTGATACATGTATTTGCCAGGATACATCGAAAAGGACAAAGTTACACTGATGATGTTATGTTCGTTTGCAAGTCGTTAATCATTGATGAAAATGAGATATGGTAATAATCACACTACCTAGCAAGTTGCATTATTCCATTTTCGTGTTAAAATTTTCAGGATAAAGTCGGTCCGATGCGACCCTGAAAAGTTATTTTTCGGAGTAATGAATTTATGCACATACGTCCTCGAGAGAACGGCTATGATATGCCTATTGACTATTGTTACTGATTGCTTTATACACTTCATCGTGCAAACATAACATGTCAATTGTAACTGGCTAAGCGCATGGGTCTATAAGAATTAGACTACTTAGCCAGTTATTGAATTTGAGTAATGGCATTATAGTAGAATGCAGCCAATGACTTGGAATAAGGGACAAAAGTTTTTTTTTAGAAATATCCGGAAAACGTTGAATTATATATCGTAACATATTCCATCTTTACCAGGAGACGTCTTCATTTTTGATGACATTGTCAACTTTAACTCTTTCATAGAAAAGTTACCTTTGATTGGAATAGAATTGAATGTGTTTTCCTTTCGAAGTTTAACTTGCACATAATAAATTCTTGGCAGTAGTTATCACGAACAACCATGTTAAATACCGACCTCAGAAAAATTGACTCGTATAAATTTCATCTGCGTGAATCCTGGCTACGCCCCTGCAAACTTTTGATAGGCTACTTTGCTTGTTCAAAGAATTACAATATTCTATCTATTTTTATTGGCTCTTAGGATTGTCTCTCTACATTTTCCTCTGCACATCTCAAATTCGATTAAATCGTTGCAATTCCATGTTCTTTTCATTACTAAGTATGATGCTCTTATTATCCTAACAGCTTTATCGCACTCCGCCGAGCACCAAGAAACTAGCGATTTGTTTTTGGTATAAACTTTGCTCCGGTGTTCGTTTATACTATAAAGCAGTGGTTCTCAAACTTTTTTAGTCCCAGAGCCTCATTTCAAACCTCAAAGTTATGAAGAGCCGCACACAAACAACGCAGGGTAAAATTGCAACAAACCTTAAGTGCGTATTTGAAATACCAAGACATCGTAACAACAGCACACGTAACTACTAGGGCAGAATATTCGAATAATAAAATATTCGAATGGCATTTTACTATTCGAATATCCGGTACCACATGATCTGCTTCGTTCTGCTTGGACACCGAACTCACGCGTCTCCAACTCAATCGTGAATTGTGCGAGATTTCCCAATGGCGGTCGCTATCAGGAAAAAAACGACAAATTTGAAAAGTCGTTGTCTCTGGGTTATGGTTCTATATGCTATCTTTACACTTAACGTGTCGTTTCAATTCCATATTTTGCAAAAAAAAACTTACCGTCCGTTCCGTAAATTTAAAAACGTCAAACCAGATTAGGTATTTAAAATAAATTAACCAGATTTTAAACTCCGCATGCTTGGTGACATGTCATTAGCCATTTCATACATTTCCGAACATAAAGTTGATTAAGATTAAATGTTAAATTGACTTTTCGGCGTTTCATTGTGAAAAATTCGATTTTAGGTCGTTAAAAAACTCTAGTTATTTAAATAGCATGGATTTAAAAATGACCAAAAGTTTTTCCAAAAGCTGGTATGAGTTACTTGTATGAAAAACACTCATTAAGTTGCGACCATATAAGAAATGTCATGTCCTACTCCCTTTAAATCAGCGGTTCCCAACCTTTCTACCCCGGCGGACCGGTAAAATTAGATAAAATGTACTCGCGGACCGGCAAAAAATTGAAATGGCCGGAACAGAAAAGAATAACATATATTTTCCCAATATAATGCGATGTCGGGCTCTTAATATGCTTCTAGACAAAAAAGCACATTTAAAAACATTTCACACGGAAAAAAACTATCAAATAATGTGCCGACTAAAAATAAAAATGGGTGAAGTATAAAATAATGCCATATATTTGCGTAATGAAATACAGTGCTGGGCACCCATTATGCGTAAGAAAGGCACGCATAAAATATCTCACATTAAAAACATGCACAATTAACTCCTGTGAGAAGTTTGCTGCTGTTTCGTTTTCAATATAAGATTGCAAACGAGGCATCAAAGAAGCTTTTGCAACACGTAGCTCTACAGCCGCGTGCAGCCGATTTCTTTGCTTCATTTTTATTGAATCTAGTGATGAAAATGTTTTTTTCGCATAACGCATTAACTGGCTGAAAAGACGAACAACAGTTTGATTGCTCGATTACTTGGCGATGGGTATTCGTTATCATCTGAAATTGTGATAAGTAATTCTTTTTTAATCTGGAATTTAAAGTAGAATCGCCATTTTAATCAAGCCTTTTCTTTTCCATTGGGTTCATCATATTAATCCCTCCGCAGTTGATCGACGCCTCAAACGAAATGAATTTGCATTACAATGACAAAATTGTCGATAACTTGGCAACAGGCTCAAAACTACTGTGTCTGAAAAAGACCTCTGCGACCCATGCTTTTTTGCGCGTCTCGTGACCACCTGTGGGGTCGCAAGATGTTCATATCTTACTGGAATATTATACTGTTCTTGACTGTTTTCAGGTTTAAACAAGGAGATATGCATTACGTTTCATATGGATGGTCATATTAATCAGGAAAAGCACGCAGAACAGAAAAAGCACGCTGCCGATTTTTAGGCTTCTTAATTTTGCGAGATTTGATGGAGCGCATTCGCGATGAATCGGAGCCGAAAAAGCGAGAAGTGTAAATGATCGGCGCCAAGATGTCGCGTGAGACGGCGCCAACATGTCGCGAAAGACGTCGCAATATTTCGGAGGAAGAGAATTGCGTAATGAGCCAACCAACGTTGTCTACGGTAAAGCGATTGAGATGGCATAAAAACAACAAAACAATGAAATTTCTCGCGGACCGGCAGAAAAGCTTCGCGGACCGGCGGTTGGGAACCACTGCTTTAAATCACTTTGTATCAGCTCTTTAGTGATCCCTTCCATCCTTGGCCAAGTAAGGTTTCGAATATGTAAACATTTCACTCGACCATGCATGGCCGTTGAGCCAAGAGTAGAACGTAAAATCGTTCACAGAATTGTTGCGTCTATTATCATCGAAAATGATTACAATTGTTAAATTTTGAAGCATTTGGGCAGTAATAATTAAGCCTTAAGGCATGACATAATCAAATTCATTAATGTGAAGTGCTGAATTTGCAAATTACGTGAAGAAAATCAAGCATTACTCAGTAAGTATTTTAGCTATAATAACCATCGGGGCGTTGTTTTGTTGAAACTAAAAGCCCTAGAAATGCCTTTATTGCCAAATTATTCAATCGCTATTTTAAATCAACATTCAGGATTCACGCAATCGTAAATTTGCCAGGTTTATCTATCTAATACTAAAATAACACGAACACCATAGAAAAGCACGAGAACCTAATTATCATTTTAATAAATATCTGCATCTCGGTTACCGTTCACTTTAAACAGGTACGGTTAATTTACAAGCGGTGATAGGGAAGATCAAATCGAAGGCAGAGGATAAAACTCAGAATAAAATTAATTTGGTTTTGGAATCAGCCCTTAATGTATTCAACAGCTGTCGCTGATGTAAACGCAAGGGTATACTAAATACTAAAACAGTCATTGAGTTATTTGATTAATACATAACATTCGGGAATGCGACAAAAACTGAAAATCCACAAAAGCAAGCCAATGATTACAGCCATGTCTAAAATCTTTCCAAGTGAAAAGTGTCCGAGTAGCCGCGAAAACACTTACTGTACTCACTATAACAATGCATCATACAATGAGTGTAGAGAGAAGGTGATCGAAGTAAACAGCGAGGTATTGACCGAAGTAAACGTATTTCCTTGCCCACAAAAACATTAAACCACGGTGTCTGGTGTGTTTTCAAGTACTATCCGCCATGAAAAAAATATAACTATGAGCGACATTACGAAACCAA